AAAAATATCATATCACGATTTTTTTTTGGGCAAAATCACAATCATGATTTTATCACTTTTTTTTATCATTTATCTATACTGTTTAGACAAATTTGTAAGTTGCTGACCAGTTCAACCAAACTTATTTCCCTGTATAATGTTTTTTAAATGCACAAAAACTGCACAGACAAGTTTAATCTGTTTGAAAAACATCTTTGTAGGAGGTCTGGTCTCTCACCCAGAACATCTTTAGCAACAGAAATGTCTTTCCCTCAATTTGATCAATATTTATGCACAATTTGAAGTTTTCCTCACCACTTTGAAATGATGATTTAGTTATGTGTCCTCTTTTATGTTCATCAGGAACATTTTCACACAGTGATGCATTCACTTAAAAACATGTAGACTTCAAGTTCTTGTGTTTCTGTTCTGTTTTAGCCCTGCAGAGTTCCTCCAGCTGGAGCTTCATACAGGCTCTGCAGACTTTGTTGTTTTTATGACATCATTGAACTAACTTTAGTTTAGTTTATATATAATCAAACATAATACAGAATGTGTTCATTCTGTGACACATGATCAAAGTAAGTTTTACTGACAGAAGAGTTTAATTCATAGAGGGGGCGGACATTGTTGATTGATAGACAGACATCACCATGGTTACTCACTTTTACCTGCCTGCTGCTTTGTAACGTCATTTAGTGTAATCCCTATAGGTTCAGTCATCACAACAGGTGAGCTTCAGGTGGAGAGGATGATAGTAACTTTAAAAACCAAGAGAGAGCGGAAAACACCGACAGCAACATTTGAAACACCGGGGTTAATTCCCCTCACTGTCTGTCTGAGCTCCGCCCTGTCTGTCTCTGACTGTTAACGTCTCTCTGTGTCGCTGTCTGTAGATGTAGACTAATCTTAACTGTGCACACTATGCAGATAATCGTTAACTGTTGCTCACAGCGTGTCGGTTTGGAAAAATATCAGAACAGTTGCATAAACCCGAGATGGAGTTGTTTTTACGGACTTTACTTTTAAGTTTCGTTTTCACTGCTGCGGAGCAGAAGAGGGGGGGGGGGGGAGATGTGTCTGTGTCGCAGCATAAACTGCAGCATGAGAGAATAAACACATCAGCCCGGTTCTACGATCTCTCTGCTTTGGCAGATCGTCAGCATGTTAAAGTCCTTCACGATCTAAGATCGTTATATCGCCCACCACTACTTGAAGGTGCACATCGCTGTTGTCTATCAACTATTTTTATAACGCTCGAGCCAAGGAGGAAAGAAAGCTTACCCGCCTAAAACCATATAGAAAGAATAGGAGAGATACATTTGAATGAATCAACATTGAAAAGGCAGAATAGAGTAAATTAGGATCTGATTTAGAACAGAATAGAATGAAATGTCAGGAAGGAGGAGGATTGCTGCCACAGAGGCTCCAGAGCCTTGATGAGGCAGAGTCTGATGGAGGTGCAGGTTCGGATACAGAAAGTGATGTCTCCTGGTCTCTCTTCATCTGACACCGGCTCTGAGATTGAACCTGAGAATGATACAGAGATCATTCCCATTTGCAAAAAACGCCGGCTGCTGTTTCCGTGGTTGTCGATAAACTACTCAAATTTCAAATTCATTAGAATTTAATGTTTGTGTCCTTAAGTTTATTACCTTTCACAACATTACAGATCCATATTCTTATATTTGATAATTATTGAAATGATATGCAAATAATTCGTAAACAGTCAAAATGGCCGCTATGGTCTTTCTAGTAGTGATAGAATGCCGATCGTTCTACTGTAAATAGATCAATAGAACACTGAGAAACATGTTAACTACCCTCTTATGTCACTATGGACAAAAATGTCCACTTCCAAAAAACTGCTATAAAAATAGAATACTTTTCTACTTTTTTCTGCATAAATCTCTTAAACAACTTCAGCCCTGCTCAAAACTACCAAACATTCAATCATTTAAAGAATTTAACCCTTTAAATGCCAGTTTGATTACTTGATGTCACTGTTGTTATTTATGAAAAACCCACGAAAATTAGTTATTTTCTATGTAACAAATATTGGTGGCTGGGGGATTTTTTAAAAATCAGTCTTGGATATGTCAAAGATTATCCATCCATTATTAAGAGATGTATGCAGAAAAAAGTAGAAAAAATATCAATCTGTTCTATTTTATATCAGTTTTTTGGAAGTGGACATTTTTGTCCTTAGTGACTTAAGAGGGTCGTAAATTAATCTGATGCCTGAGGGTTAAGGGAGCTATCATCAAGTTCATATGACACTTTCATGATTCAGAAGGTTCTTCATCAGTAGCAGCCATTTTTGCTCTTAATGAAAAGTCTCATCAGTGTCCGTATGGGAGAGATCAAATGCATCTACTGGAGCATGTAAAGCATTTGTTGAGTTTGCATAGTGGTGAGCTCCCAGCCTATATACTCTTTCACTGCACTATAACTTCACTTATCTGCACTATATCTCTATATATATATTTCTTTACCTAATCAGTCACTGCACAATAATAACTGTGTATATTCTTTCAGTCACCACAACTGTCTATTTATTATTATAATTATAATATATAATATTATTATTATATTATTATTATTATTATTATTATATTATTATTATTATTATTATTATTATTATTATTATTATATTATTATTATTTTATTATTATTATTATTATCATTATTATTATTATTGTTATTGTTATTATTATTATTATTATTATTATTATTATTATTATTATTATTCATTCACTGAACAGCAGTTGGCCACTCTGGCCACTTTTCACAAACATATTTGTCTTCATATTACCACAAATATATTTTTGTTTTTGTAAACGCTGCTGTATAGGATTGCTGCTAACAAAGTTTTCTTGTGTCCTTGTATACAATGATAATAAAGATTCTATCTTTCTATCTATGCCTTTAGAAAGGATTAAATAGTTTGTATTTGATTTCATGTCTTTGCAAAACTTTCGACAGATGGTGACCCTTTTTTGTTTTTGGGGCTGGAAGTCTTTGTTAAGCTCAGCATTGTTCTAACTTTCAGATCTGACCGGTCGTGGCCTCAGTCCGGGGTCCGAGTTGATGGTTCAACGCTGCAGTTTCTGAGCATCACCTCCGAGCTGAACGGCCTCTACCAGTGCGAGGCGTCGAACTCGTATGGGAGTAAACGTGCTTACCTCCGTGTGCATTTCACCTCAGGTGAGATCCCTTTTGACTCGCCTCCAGTTATTTCAGCAGCCAAATGAGTTTATTATAGCACGTTGTTCCCGTGGAATCCTTAAGGACATGGTGAGAGTTGAAATGCTGGATATACTTGATTAGGATTCCTCTGAGACTCCTCCATGCCGAGAATATTGAGATTTTTAAACGCAGTCTGAAAACTCATTTATTCAGTCTGGCTTTTATATAGCGCTTTATATAAATTCAAATCTTAACATTATTGTTTTGTCTTTTTAATCCTACTACAATTTTAAATATTCCTCTCCTATGTACTAATTTTAATATCTTATTGCTTTTATGTATTTTTTTATATTTGTGCATTAGTCTGTCAGTGATTTATAAACTACTTTTTCGTCAATAACTTTTCTGCACTCTTGTAAAGCACTTTGAACTGCAATTTAATTTGTCTGAAAAGTGCTATATAAATAAAGTTTGATTGATGTGTGTAGATATTTCAGCTGTGTCCAACTGTAAGAAGAGGGTCCAGGATACCCTGGTTACCAACAATAGCTCCTGCACATGGCACAGGAATGCCTTTAAAGTTGCTTTAGCCTCCCTCTCTGAGCCGCCCTTTGAAAAAAAAGGCTTTAAAACCGACAGTGAACACCAGCTCATGTTTGCAAAACAATTGACCTATTATGGTCAAACATTCCAACATGTGAGGATGAAGCTTGTTTCACAGCTGTTCTCTCTTGAGTTTTGCAGCAGCTGTGTGATTGAAAATATAACTGTTACTGTAGATCTGTTGTCTTTTAGGGCATCTGTACTGAAGATACTATCAAACCTGAAACCAACAGGGATCAGTATCATTTAAAAACACTTTGTTAAAGTATCAGAGTGTTAAAAACGCTGACATCCCACAATAAAGATAACTTGTTATGTTTAGTATGTTATTCACAGAATGCTATTTAATCATTAACCATTAGCAGCTGATTTAATGCCTGGCTGGATGGCAGCTGTCAGCAAATTGTTAACATAACTGAGCTGGGTAGTTTTTTGTTTTTTCTGCCTGAAGCTCCCAGTGTTACCTGATCTGTCTGGATCTGATCTTAGTGCTGAAGGAAAAGGAGCTGAGACATTTAATGAGCTTCAAAGTGTGATTCACTGCAGGCCAGTTGTACTAATTCAGATTCAGACAACTTTATTAATCCCAGAAGGGCAATTCAGTTTCACAGCCTACTGAGTCTTGTAAAGAAAAAACAAAGACAATAAACAAAACGAGAAGCCAGAGCTAGCAAATCTAGAAATTCCAGATATGTATCTAATAAACAGATACATTCTACAATTCACTTAGCAGACTCTTTTATCCAAAGCGACGTACATCAGAGAGTAAGAACAACACAAGCAAGGATCTAGAAAAAAGGGAACAATGTGAGTAAGAGCAAACGATCAGCTTTGAGTCTGATTGGACACACAGGTGCTGACAGGAAGTGACCAGAGGCAAAGCACAACATTGAGGGCAGTTCTTGAGAGCTCTAATCAGTATAGAAACCATCTTATAAGTCATCGTTATCAAACAAAAACCATCGTCATTACCATCATCATCATCAATAATATGGAGACCATCATCATTAAGTTAGTAGGTATTCATGAAAGAGCTGGGTCTTTAGCTTTTTCTTAAAGGTGCAGAGGGACTCTGCAGATCACATGGAGTTTGGAAGTTCATTCCACCACCGGGGGGCGACAGAGGAGAAGAGTCTAGTCAGCGTCTTAGGACCCTGTTGTGAAGGTTGGATCAGACGCCTTTCATTGGAAGAGCGTAGTGGGGGGGGGGGGGAGTGTAGACCTGGATCAGAGAGTTAAAGTAAGGAGGAGACGTTTTTGTCGCTGTTTTGTAATCGAGCAGCAGAGTTTTAAATTTGATGCGAGCAGTAACTGGGAGCCAGTGTAAGGAGGTGAACAGCTCTTTTACATAAATGAATGGACCTCACAGGTCACCTAAGGGTGCAGTAACAGTCCATTCAGTACTGGCTGCATTGGATTAAATTAACTGGTCGTGCAAATCTGTACTTCCTGTTACTTCTTCATGTTCTCCTCTGTCCTGTCTCTCTACAGGATCCTGCACTGCCAGTTGGACCCTCTTTGTTCTTCTGCTCGTCCTCGTTGTTGCTGCTGTCTTGTGTTGCTTCTATAAACGTATGGAAATTGCAAGGTACGAAATATGAAAGTATCTCAAACACTACAGTGAACTATTCAATTCTACTATTAAATATAAAAGCTTATACGGTTACATACTGTGACTACTAACTTTTACTTTTTTTATTACCTTGTAGATTCATACTACGGGAAGAAGGCGGCACACGAGGCAAGAGGCAAAAGGTTCCAACGACTTCCAGCTCACCTGAAGGCCATGACAGAGTAGAAGAAGATGGAGGGGAAACAGAGGTAAGACATTTGTTACATGGTAGGTATTCAGGGAAAGGTGAAATTCCATTGGTCATGTGACGATGACATCATCAGCTTCATGTTGCACTAACACCTCCAACATCTTCACCTGCATATACCTGCTGCTGTCTGTTTTCAACCAGTGCAGTTTGACCTGAGAGACAGAAGCTCCTGAATGCATCACAAAAAGGCCTTTTCCAATGTAGTGACTTAACAACCTAAGAACTCCCAATGGGTTTCCTTTTTCAAGTTATTCCAAGATTTATATAAAATTAAAAAAAGACTATTTGCAGACTGAGTGGAAATAAATCAAGTTTTAATGAAATGTTTTTGCCTTCTCTTCCTCAGGGAGAGCTTTGAAATCAGTCGAAGCAACAGAAGAGGATCACAGCTGGACTGAAGGTGATTTGCAGACTTCCAACACTATTCATTCCTGACGCAGCCGTTAGTGAAAATAGGCAGTATTCCTGGTGCTTTACATTTTGTTGATGTCATTGACATTGGTTTTAAAAATAGCCAATTTCTCAATTCAGATATTTAAAGTTATTGTTTCCAAATATTACAACTGAACAGCTAGTAGTATTATCAAAAAAAGAATGTCAAAAATGAACCTGAAGGTTAAGAGCTTTTCTGAAGAGTCACCAAAATATGAAAGTCAGCTACAATGTTGATGTAGAACTAACAAGGCAAAATTGGAAGAAGTCAAAAAGGAAGGAAACCGTTTAACTGTCACCAGTTTTTAAACATGAAGGCCTGTGGCTTTAACCGTCAGCCACCAGGAAGGTACTCTGTTTTCACACCAACAGTATTAACTGCTGGTCACAGCAAATGAGTATGAAGCATGTGTACATGCACACAGAACAGAACAGGTTTTGAAAGGAAAGTAGGAAAGAAGATTTTGAGATTTGTTTTTGTGTCTTTGTGCCAATCTAAGTAGTGCCTATAAACGAGGTGATCCTTACAGGAAAAGTTGAAGCACTAACAAGCCTTACCCAGCATTTTGTAGTCAGGCTATCAGTCTGCTGCTGTGACTTTTCACAGAGTTAAACAACTGAAATACACATTCAAGCACCTAAATTATGTTGTTTACAGGTCATTAGCACTTCAGTTACAAAGCTGCTAAGAGGAGCTTTCATTTTGTGTTCAATTTGACTACTACCCCCTGGTGGCTGAAATGGGTACCGATTTGTGTGAAGATGTTTTTTTTTTATCTTTCCATGGCTATTTAAGATCGTAACTGTGATAACAAAATGCAGTTATTCATTATGTTATGTTATGTTATGTTATGTTATGGGGGCGGCTGTGGCTCAGTTTGTAGAGTCATCACCTCTCAACCGGAAGGTCGAGGGTTCGATCCCCAGCTGTGCAACATGTCCGATGTGTCCTTGGGCAAGACACTTAACCCCGCATTGCTCCTGCTGCTTCAGTGGCGGTGTATGAATGGATTAGTTTTGTACTTACTCTCTGATGTATGTCTTGTGTCTGCTAAGTAAATTGTTACATTGTAACATGTTTTGATGACAATAAGCTATCATCAATGTGTAATCAGTAGAGTGTTCTTTTAGACTGATAGCTGCAGTGTGTTTTTTTTTATTAAAGTCCTGTAAAGCCTTGCTTATCTTTTTTTACTGATGATGTTTTCTACATTTTCCCTTCATGCACTAAGCCTTATTTTATCTTACTTTGTTCTGCTGTGCATTTTATTGTTATTCTTTTTGGAAAGTTAAATCTAGATAACCAATGATGCTTTAACCACACTTTGATGTAAGACACTTTTTGTTTTTTCTTTTTTAGCTGTAAAACATTTCACTTCCTGCTCTATGGTTATCTGTTTGCTTTATTTAGCATTTTATTTGAACTGTTAATTTATTAAAGCTTGTAGAAAAACATCACAAATTCTTCAATCCCATGTCTTTCATTTGTGTGTCTTCCTCACATACCATCCCTTATCTGTGGTTAGCTAGGGATCGTTTTTCTTCATGGGTTGGACTATGACACCTTTTTTTACCACAAAACAAATACCCACAGTGAGGGCAAAGAAAGAGACCAAAGCTTGTCTTCATGACTGAATCAATGGAAACAGCACCTGACAGGAAGCTGGGCTGAAGGAAACAAAAGTCCCTTCTTCGTTGTGAGACAGGAATGAATTACTTGTTAAATGGGCTGTATTTCTGTATTTCTGCTATGTTACAAAGACCCGGTCTATCCATCATGAGCACTTTAGCAAAGCAGCAAAAGTTACAGTGGTAAGAAAAAACCTTCTTATTAAAAGGCAGAAATCTTCAGCTGGATCCCCGGCTCATGATGAAACAGCCTTCACAGGCCTAGACTGCGCCGGGCTTGGAAAGGGATAGGGGGAGAGATGGGATAAAATGCAGGAAGAGGGATAGGGAGCAAGGGGGTGATGACGATTGATGACGATTCTGACGTCAAGTCGGCAAGACGAGCACCTCCTTCTTTTCCGAGTTTCCGACTTGTTGTTCCGACTTGAGCAGGTGTTCATGTGCATTTTACAACTCGGGCATCGTTTTTCCAATGTGCCTGACACCCTGAATGCACCATCTGCCAATTGTGCCGTTCGATGACGTTACCACTGTTATTAGCCAATAGTTTATCTGTTTATCTGGAACAGTGAATTTAGTTAACACATGCTTTGGAGAACGATCTAATTACTGTCTTCAGAGAAAAAGTTATGCAAGTACACAAAACACAAATGTGGTCAATTTTGTCCTGCAACCTCGTGGTGCCAATACATTAATGGACTAAATGGTAGGCTGCTGGCATGTACAACAGAAGAGGTCCACCGAGAGTGGATTGTTTTTAATTCTGCCAAATGTGCTTTCCTCCATCATTCATTTTGCCACTTGTTAAACTCTCAGGACCAGATTTACTGAGCTCCCAAGTAAAGAGTACTAAATTGCGCGTTCACTCCAAAAGTTTGCACGTTTGGTTGGTGGGCGTTTTGCGGGAGATCTACTAAGAAAATTTGCGTGAATGACACCACTACTGGTTTCTACTGGTTTACATCATGGAGAGTTTGGACAGAAAGCCAGATGACTGCAAGCGCAAAATAGGTCTTAGTGAGAGAGGCAAATAAACGCACAATACTTTCGAGTTATAGAAGATAAATCTGAATATTACAAAGAAACTTTTGGTTATAAGAAAACCTCGGCGTTAAACAGGGCCTCTCTTTTCTTCCCTTCATCTTAAGAATGAAGTGTCATACATTGAGCAGGAGGTGTGAGCTGTGTCCTCTGTGGACCGGGCGCTCTACACTCCCTGTTGTTGTGCAGCAGACAGCTGGTCAGCGCTGTGTCTGATCGGACATAAATGCCCTGGAAAAAGGTATCGAAGACGGGGGTACAAACAGTGGTGAGGTCCCCTAATCCAAGCGTCCTACGGAGTAGCAGCAGCTTTAGAGGGAGGAGACGAGCGCATTATGGAGAGGAGCGCACCGGAGGGGGCGAGCTGGGGGAGAGACGCGCAACCCGAGAAAAAGGAAATCCCCAGTTTAAAATGTAATGTTGGTGAAAAGAGAGAAATAGGATGACATAAATGTCAATGTTGAAATTCTATAGAATTCAGAGGCTGTGAATGTTCAGTTTTGTTTGGCTAGATGGCAACAACAGCCTGTAGTTTAATCACGTTGTTTATCTTTCTTAACAATTAGAATATTGAATCAAATTAAAAAATAAAAGCATGCCATTTATTTTTCTGTCATTTGAAAGATGGAAACACTGTGATGTTGTAGGTAAAATGTTCTCTGAATTTCCATGGCAAAAATACATTTTTGTCCTCCTCCTGGTCGTTTGTCTCATCCTCTGCCATTGTCATTGTGTGGAAAGTGCTCTCGCGCATTGACTTGCAGCGTACCTGCGCACATAGAGCCACCTGCAACCTGCGTGTAGTGCCGTAAAGTAATCCCTTTAAGTAATCCTTTTTTGAGAAAGTAACTGTATTCAGAATACACCAATTTAAACTGTAACTATAACGGAACACAGTTATTCTTATTTTGTATTTTAAATACGTAACGCCGTTACATGTAATCCGTTACTTCCCAACCCTGCGTTTCAGACAGGGAATCTAAAGGCCAATATGACACAACAACTATAAAATAAAAAGGACAAGAAAGCCAAAAACAATAAATTCATCAATTCAATTAATTAAGAAAGAAATATTAACAATAATGAAATTATATTTCAACTTTTGTTTAGGTTTAGATTAAGTGAAATACTAAGGCATACATAAGGTGTAAGACATAAAAAGATCTTATACATCTCAAAGTATTTAGGAAGTCAAATAACTTAATTTAAAAATTCTGAATTTCCCCCACAGAGGGGATGAATCAAATATTGACTTATCTATCTAATATAGGGTAACAAGATATCTATCTATGAAATTTGTTAATCTTGAGATAAGCTTAAATAATTTAAATTTCTGTAAAAAAATACTTGGCAAGTGTAATCAAGTTATTTAATGATCAAGTTATTGCATTTTTTTTCTATAATCCAGGTAGAGACAGGCCCTTTAAAAATCAGGACATTTCCAGTCATACTCCTCAGGTTGAGTACATAAACAGGTACACAATGAGAGACGTTCAAATAAAAAGAGCCGTAAATAACTGAAAGCACAAAATATAACAAAGTGAAATAACTGAATTACAACAGGGCTATCTCAAAGTGCAGTTATCCCCAAACTTTTAAACACATTTCCATAAACTGTCACCCAATTTCTCAACACCTCAGAGACAAAAAAAAAGAGTGAACTACTTTGTGAAAACTCTACAAATGTCTTACAAAGTGAAACAAAGCTAAAAACCATGTCCCCTCTTCTCTAAACTGATTCATTTAACCAAAACAATACACACTGATGTGAACAATTCAAAACACTACCATCAAAAGTGTTCATGTATGTTTTGGATGAGAAGCAAAAGAAAAAAAAAAAACCTTCATGTGCAAGCACCTAGTAAGAGAGAGTACCCTGCTGATGAATGTAGACACAGAGGGGTTTTCAAGTGGGCACTCTCCTTCCTCAGTGTTTTTGTTGTTGAGCTGACGACGTCTCAGGAGGGCTCAACAGCGCCCTCTGGTGTCCCAGAAAACATCCCCTATATGTCAACCTGGACTGCTACTTTGGGTCCCAGCAGAGGTCTTGCATCTTCATCCATAGCCATTGGCTGTTTCTCTCTGTAGCTTTGGTCGCTTCCTGCAGTTTCTGGCCTCCTAGGTCTCTAAGCAGCTTCAAACCTAAGGCAAGGTGAGTTTATTTATGTCACACATTTCAACAACAAGGTAATTCAAAGTGATTCACACATCAAAAAGCATCATGACAGAGGAAAGAAAAGAAACATTAAAATAGAACATTTAAAAAATCACTGAAATTATTAAATCTGAAAATATGTTCAAATAAAAATAATTCAAATGAAATTAATTGAAATAAAAAAAAGTAAAAATATAAAAAGAGTTAAAAGTTACAGAGCAGAGTTAAAGTTTAAAATCTTATTAAAGCTGTTTAATGAAAGGCTGTAAACAGGTGAGTCTTCAACCTGGATTTAAAAGAGCTGAGAGTTTTCTGGGAGTTTGTTCCAGATATAAGGAGCATAGAAACTGAACGCTGCTTCTCCATGTTTGGTTCTGACTCTGGGGACAGAGAGCAGACCTGTCCCAGACCACCTGAGGGGTCTGGATGGTTCAGAATTAATCAGGAGGTCAGTGATGCTCAGGTGTCTTCTTCTGCAAAACTGATTCTCGAGTGCTACTTGAGTGACATCAATGGAGTTGTACTTTGAGTTTAGCAGATTGAATTCATGTTTGTGATACATGAGCTTCATCTTTTCAGGTTGGTGTGTATAGTTAATTTGTTTTGTGTATAAAAAAGTTAAATGGATTTGATAATAGGTTTTTCTTGTGTTTCTTTTTGTTGGCTATCCTTGCTCTTTGCTGCTGTAACACTGAACATTTCTCCGATATGAGTAAAGGATTATCTTATCTTAAAATCATATTATTGAGAACAAAGTCTTAAGTTTCCAATTGTCAACAAAAATACCAGACTTCAAATTTTTTCACTTTCAAAGGCGGCTGCTGAACCTGAATCTGAATCTGCTGAAAATTTGAGTCAGGTCAGCTCGACGTGTTTTCATGACAATTTGTGTCAGATGTTTTTGTTTTGATGACAAAATGATTTTACCCCCCCCCCCCCTCAAATTTTGGTGTAAAAATGTTGAGCAACGACCTGACTCAAATTTTCAGCAGATTCAGGTTCAGCAGCCGCCTTTGAACGTGAAAAAATTTGAAGTCTGGTATTTTTGTTGACAATTGGAAACTTAAGACTTTGTTCTCAATAATATGATTTTTATAGTAATAGAATTTTTTTATCAAGAAAATGTTGAAACCCCCGACCCCCTTGCTCCCTATCCCTCTTCCTGCATCTTATCCCATCTCTCCCCCTTTCCCTTTCCAAGCCCGGCGCAGTCTAGACCTGTGAAGGCTGTTTCATCATGAGCTGGAGATCCGGTCTGAAGATTTCTGCCTTTTAATAAGAAAGTTTTTTCTTACCACTGTAACTTTTGCTGCTTTGCTAAAGTGCTCATGATGGATAGACCGGGTCTTTGTAACATAACAATGAGTAAGGTCTTTTACCTGCTTTTTGTAAAGTGTCTCAAGATAACACTTGTTATGAGTTGAAGCTATACAAATAAAAATTGATTGATTGAATTGACCCCCGACCTGACTCACATTTTGATGAAAAAATGATGATCCATGTGCCTGACTCGATTTTGTTTTAGCAATAAAACATGTTGAAGATCTCTTTAGAGAGAGAGAGAGAGAGAGAGAGAGAGAGAGAGAGAGAGAGAGAGAGAGAGAGAGGGGGCATTTGTAAATGTTAGGTCACAGAAGTGTTTCCTTTAAAAATAATAATAATTTCTTTCACTCATTAAAACACTAAATAATTCTAGAAGCTGTCTGCTCCTCTTGGTAAATGCACCAGGTACAAACAAAGCTATGATTTCACTTTTTTAATCTCATAAACTTTGAGAACTTTTCACATTCTCACACTATTGAAAGACGTTAGCCATGACCTCTGTGGTTCACGGCCGACGTGACACATCATTTCCTTCAAAACAACAACCCACTTCCTCTTCGCCCGACTCTTTCACAGAAATATTTATTGGTGATGAACTGTCAGTCTGTCTTTTTCTCTGGCTTATGGTCATCATGTTTCATCCAAACCAAGCAGCTCTGCTCTCCTTATTATTTATGCACGGGGTCTTTGCAGGTAGAGTACAACTTTTGTGTTTTTTGCATTACATGCTTTTCTCAAGGCTAAGTTTTGTATCTGTTGCATATGTATTAATTGTTTTTTCATTCTTTGATTTAAGCAGATCAAGAAGGCAACCACAAGAATGAAGAGGTGTCCAGAGGAGGCTCTGTCATCTTTACTTGCAACACATCAAGAGAAAATACAAAACAAATCACCTGGAGCAAAGGCAGATTTTATTTTTCTCATTTAATGAAAGGAAATGTGACTGTTTCAAATTTCACCTCTGACAGACTGACAATAGATCTATCCTCAAAGCTGATTATTTCTAATGCTCAGGAAGATGATGAAGGACTATATACATGTAATTTAACTGAATCTTCAGGGTCAACGACTTATCGGTGGAATTTAACCGTGTCTGACAAACCTGAAGGTAAGTAGAGCTCAAAGCTGGTCTCCTCACTTAAATAAAAGTCATAATGAATGTGTAAGCTCTGATGACCTGCAACATAAAGTCATTCACATCTGATTTTACACAGAGGAGAAGTCATCGGGGTATTTCCCATACATACTCACAGCTGGGATTGGATTCCTTCTATGTGGCATCCCTCCAGCTGTTTATCTCTGCATGTAAGTTATAACTTGACTGTGTGACAATTTCTGCCAAATAAACAAGCTTTAGTTCATCTTGGCTCACAGTGACCATCTCACACCTGCACCATGTGTTGCTATAGTCTGAGCTCATTGCAATTTTTTTTTAATACAACAGGATATTTGAATGTGTCAACTTGAGGGTTCTTAAGTTGATGTTTTTCGGGGTATTTGCTAAAATCTCATTTTCTCTAAAGGGCTATCAATCCATCAAAATAAATAAATAAAAAAGCAGATTAATCAATGATAAATATAATTGACCCTATACCCATTCTGTTTTACATAATAGCCTAGATGTTTCTTTTCTTTCTTTAAGTACATTTGGCAGATAATCTCCCTTTTACATTTGATCAAGAAGAGTTAAAAATGTGTCACATTGTTACATTTATGAGTTAGTTCAGTAAAGATTCTAAGACTTTCCTAACAATGTATTGGAGACAGTTGAAATGTGCCATGGAGTAATATTATTGGTTATAAATCCCTACAGGGAAAGCAAGAGCTGGGCCTCAAACCAGGACTTAACCTGCAGCAGAACCCTGATCTATGCCGTGGTTCAAGTCCCGTTTGGAGGAGGAGAGGTCAGAAGAACTTTACTCAAACTAGTGTGCTCTAAAATCTCTCAAACATTTTGTCCTGTGAGTTTATTTCCATATTTTTCCGCTGCAGGTGCCTCTGAATCTGCCCCAAAGCTGTGTGGAATACAAGATGATAAACACTTGAAGGGACTCGACTTCAATATTTTTCATTGAGTTCAGATTAAAACTGAGTAACCAGACAGCTGCTCGAATGGAATAATGACGGAACACATCGTTATGACATATATATATATATATATATATATATATATATATATATATATATATATATACAATTTATATATAAAAAACTTGCAACCCTACTTCTTTGAAATCAGAACATTTTTTTGGCATGCCTTTGCCTTTTATTAGAGGGCCCTGTAGCAGGAATGTAATTTCTAAATCCCGTCATATCATCTTATTATCTAATTCAATTTTTTTTTTACATTGCTGTACTCTATTTTTTCAGAATTATGAACTCTTCTTAAATGTTTTGTTCTATTTTATTGTGGTTCTTGTGGCTAACCCTTTTGCACCAATACACCAAGACAAATTCCTTGTATGTGTAAATGTACTTGGAAATAAAAAACAATTCTGATTCTGATTCTATTGCCCTTTAAATTTGATAAAAAGAACTTTGGATCGACTTGTTTTTTAAATGTATGTATTGGTATGACAGTAATAATAATAATAATAATAGCTAGGCAAATTGTTTTTGAAACCCAAATATTTATTAAGTTCAAAAATGAAATCCTTTTTTTATTATAATTATTATTTTATTATTAATAATTAATTATGTTGGAGCAAAAAGTTGTATTTCATGATGAAACACCAAGTCAGCAGACATTATGGAGCAATGGAAACTTGGCTTTCAAGGAGAAAAAAAAGAAAAGATATTTGCTATTGCACACCTGACCACAAGAGGGACTGCGTTAAAGGTGAAATAATTCATGGAACATGGATAGTGGAAATTCCGATCCCCCCTAAAAGCAGCAGGATCCCTTTTTGTCACGTGCTCTACTTGTACTGGTATACTGGTATTTTAACTTCCAAATAAATGAGGAAACACTAAAGACACACAGAGAAGAATGTAACAATACACACTAGAACAAAGAGAAACACAAGCATAATATAAGAAATGACATAATGAAACAGAACAATAAATCTAAACTCTGAAATACACAAAATACAAAACTAATAAACTCCACATCATGAACACTTGCAAACATTGTTAATGATGTTACACCAACTATTTTGTCATTATTAAAAACAAGTTACTGTATAGATGTAACAGAGTTAAAATGCACTTTATTTTTGAGTACAGTTTACAATTTATACTTGAGATTTCATTTATAATTTATTTCTTTAAGTATTTGTGAATTTTATCTTAACGAGTTATGTATATTTACTGTTATTTTATCAAATTTATGTTTCCTTTGAGAATGACCTTTTTGGCACTTTGCGGTTTCTGTACCTCCTGGGTTACCGTAGCTCCTTCCATCTGTCCCTCACGGTGCCGTTTGGCATTGCTGAGGGTGAGTTGTATGTAAAGACGTTGCTGCATCATTACTTTATTTACTGTGGAAAATAAGTGATTTAAGTTGTAATGTTCCGTTTATTTTATAAACTGATAGTAATACGATGTTAATCAGTCATTTTGTTTAGGTTTTGAGAGTTTTATATCACTTTGGAGACTGTTTTAATGTAGCGGTTTTGGCGCGAATTGTGTGATATCCTACAGCGCCTGTGTCACGTGATTGACGTGCCGCAGATATTCTCAGTTAAAATAATATTTATTTAGCATGTTTAGGAGCAGAGGTGCAGAAAACAAATGTCCAGAAGGCACATTGAATGTTCTTTTGTCTTCTGCAGGTATGTTTTTCCTTGTATTTTCATACTTTCTGTTTTGTTTTACAGCCGCATGTTGTTGTTTATTTTGTCCACTAGGTGTCACTGTTTTACCATTTGGTAACTGTTTCTCATGTTTCTTTAATGAGATTTATTGTTAATATACACTGTAAAACCGAAGTTTTTCAGCCATTTGTAGCAGCTCTTTGTTATAAATATTTACATATAGTTAAAATAATGAAGTAATGATTGTAATATATTTCTATGTAATATAAATGTGTTTTGAGCTCACACAGTGCCGTGAGACTCTTTGGATAGTGAACATCTCTTCTATGTAACAACAGCAGGAAATGTTGAGGCTGGTTATTATAGCGATACTCACATCAAACAATTATATTAAGTTATTCACTTGTTTTTAATCAACAACCCAAAAAAGGGATTGAAAGATTACTTGGATCGTGTAAATTCCGAGTCCTCCTGAACGCATCCCGTGAGTGTGTGGTTTCGTGTCGTCCTCCTGTTTTGTCTCGGAGCAGAGGAAAGATGCTGGTATAAAGAAACTGCACACATGGATGGATGGATATGAATAATTTGGACGTAAACTATGGATAGGCCTGTGTTTGGGTTTAAGGAGCACCACTATGCTTTTACTGGTGTTAACGTTGATGGTTCCCACAGTCACAAACGGTATGTTGGCTCAGTTCTAATGAGAAAACAGCCTCCATGTCATGGCGTTATCATTTTCTAGGCCATTTCATGGTAAACAGATAACTTATTAGGCCACTAACAGAAATATATACAGAACTGAATTATTAAAAACCTCTAAAGAGTTGACTGTGTGTAAAACCTTTTCTTTAAAAAGAGATCTTGTAAAACATATTCCTGTAGGGTACGTTATTTACGTTTAGCTTCGTCCTTCAAACTTTCAGACGGAAAAGTACAAGTCTTTGTTTTATAGGCTAGACTACTAATCCCCAAAATGTTTAATTATTAATATTGATAGGGTGAATTAGCCTAATGTGGGACAATTTTGGCATTTCAGACTTCTGAGATATATTGCAACATGAAGCTATAGGCCTACATTAAATAATCCACACCCAGTACCACTCTGAAATCCCCAGGATGTCCCCTAATCAAACCCACACTCAGACATATCAGTAGTCTTAGTGCCAAATTGTTTGGACAATCTGCATTTCCTAATGTGGGACAGTGCTGTTCTAAATGTGGGACACTGAAAAGTCATGTTAAAAAGTCTAAATCACCTTAATTCAGGTATAAAAACCTGTCACACTCAAGTCTAAAATGTGCAATACCATATTCTGTAATTTTACCACTTACAATGTTATTGGTGTTACAAAACACTACAAATGGAATATAATAGTTTTGATGCATTTTGTAGAAAGACAATAGGCTATTAAATGATCATATTTGACATACAGAGAAAGCAGAATGTTGTGAACATGTTATGAATGAATTTATTTAAAGAAATGCAATGTTAAAATGTTAAAATGTTTTCTATTCCATACGTCTGTCCTGAACAAAAGAAATTCTTAGCCAACTAACACCAATACTATTTTGTTGACTAAATGATTAATTGATAGACAAATCTTTAAAACTGTGTTTTTCAGAGAAATATGCAAAATAACTTATTTAATCATATCTTTACCAGAGATGTACTTAGGGTTCTTAAAAAAACACAACAGGCATATTTGAATGCAAAAAACTGTCTCGCTTTAGGAAACACAAAGGAACTTTTAATTTAAAATAACAATTATAGAATTTATTTAAAACATAATATAATATTTTTTGATGAACAAACATATCATAAAAACATCCAAATAAAAAAAAGTAGGATTGTTTTATTTATAAGAAATGTATATCCTTAACATTAAGTTTGTCTAAACAGTATGTCCCTGACCTTTGGGTGGTCTTCATGCTGTGTACTTCATGTTTGAAGCTTGTATCATTCTAATCTCTGATTGGACATTTGAGAAGTCATGTTATTTTGATCACATGACATCACAACTTGCGTTAACCCTTAGTTTTATTGACTTTCATTTGTTGTAGGAAGACCTACACCCACTTGAGCTGAGGTGTCCCACATTTGGCTAATTCACCCTACAATTTAAAAGCGTGTATTTATTTTGGGGGGAGTCGTTAATGCAGACCTAAATAAACTAAAGGCCCACCATAAGTAGCCTACATTGTAGCTTTTCTCATATGGACGCAAAGGAAATGCTTGTTTTTTTGTATTTTCTAAATTATTTGTATTCCAGTGAACGTTATCTTGTGCATCTTTACAGCTCTGGAGGTCATTGGAGGAAGAACGACAACGGTGCAGGGAGGAGCAGCTGTCCTCCACTGTAAACTCATTGGTACCACAGAGACCCTCACACAGATTTCATGGCAGAGATTGACCAGAGGAAAACCTCGGACGGACAATTTCTATACAATCTCGTCCGACGGACCAAACTATATCAATGGCCATGATTATCGGTTTAGGTTCATTGGGAGTTTTACAGATAAAAATGGTACTCTCCAGTTATCGAATGTCACACTGATGGATGAAGGCACCTACACATGTGTGTTCACTTTGTTCCCCAGCGGGATCCATGAGACAGCGATACCTCTTATAGTTCCTGGTATGATACATTCAAAATGCTGCTCATGTTGTGTTTGTATGTGTGAGTCATGAACATCTTAAGAGTGTGTGTGTTAACTTTGTTGTTGACTGTCGCTCTCTTAGTGCCTCCGGTCACAAGCCTGAAGGATGCTCATCCTGCTTTGGGTAACGACGAGGTCCCTCTTATTACCTGCACGGCTGCTGGTTCCAAACCTCCTGCAGAGGTGAGGTGGCTCACTGGTACTCTGGGAGAGAAAGTGAGGCTGTCAACCAACTCCAGCCTTCATGCTAACGGTACGACTACCACAGTCAGCTGGCTGTTTGGAGTGCCTACCAGAGAACTCAACGATCGTTCAGTCCAGTGTGTCATCACCAGTCCTGCTCTAGAGAGAGAAGAAACCCTGAACTCCACCATACATATCCACTGTGGGTATATAAATACACTCTCCTACATCAGTTGTTTTATCTGTGGTTAATGAACTGTGTTTTTCAGAACATTTTTGAAGCTTCTGTGAGTGAATGGACACTGGTCATGTTTTATTCCTCCTCGTCATCCTCTTCTTTTTTTGGTTTTCATTGTTGTATAAGATGAGCCTTCACCACTGACCAATGGCACACAGTTATCAAAGTGTTCATCAGCCAGCAGACTTGTTTAAAGCTGAATCTGCTTACTTTTTTGTTTTTGTTTTTCAAATAGCCTGACATGTGATTCTCATAAGATTCACCTCTTTAAATTCTGCAGGATGGTCTTTTATTGAGCTGGTCTTTTTTATTCCGTAAAAGAGAGATTTTTACTAAAAAAAAGGGAACATGCCATGTTAATATTCCTGCTTCTTTAGGAATATTTTAAAAGTTGTGGATTTCATTTTCCAGTGGGATTGTGACATTTACTCTTCTGCTAGTCCCTCTCCCCCTGTTCTCTGTGTTTCTCCATTAGTGTGACTTAGTGTGATTAGTGTGACTTCACTGTTGTTTCTCTAATGGGCCTTGAAAAAAGCACATTCATCACAATCAAGTAAAAGTGCATGGCCATGCCAGAAAGGCAGTGTAGGCAGTATGATAAGCATGCTTGGTATAGTTAGCTCTAAAGCCAGCCAGCTGTACAGTAGCACAATCTTTTAGTGTTGCAGCAGCAGATCATGTTGCTTCAACATTGGACCCCTTCTTTCGATTCCCTGCGGTTGAGTAAGACGCTGTTTTTTTTTCCATAAAGTTGTTTCTTTGGTTTTGCACGACCGCAGGGTTGATTTTATTTTTTTTCACAAAGGAGAATCTTTGATGTGGATATATTTCATATCATTCATACTTGTACAATATAAGCGACCTTCAACAAGTCTGTGAAATGTTTTCCAAATATTTTCACTCAGATACGCCCCTGATATGTTTTTCCACATACTCACATCAATCAGCTGTAATAATAAAGTTTGATTTGCTTTAACTTGCTCTTAACTGGGAAACGATGACATCAGGGCACATTTGAGTAACACATAAACATAAACAAATCAGTTTTTTGGGAGTTGCATCCTGATCATTTTGGGTCTTTTACCCGCTCTTTTTAAAGTGTCTTGGCGCTATACAAATAAAGATTGATTGATTTTACTAAATTAAACTCATATGTATTGAGTTTATATTAAATCATGGGAGTCCTCTCCTGGTCTTTGGAAACAGTGATAAAGGTTGCAGATACAGTAGGAGGGTCACACACTTACTGTTGTTGCTTTTGGCTATTAACTGCATCACGGGAGCCTGAATCAGCTGACCTAAAACATAATTTCATAACCAAAGCATGAAAGTCACAGACAGCCAGTCTCATATCATGTGAACGTATCATCAGGCCTGTTTCTTAATCCATTGGCCAGATTGAGGGGATTTTTTTTTTCACAGTGGGCTTCTCTCCAAAAATGTTTAGAAATCAAGTACGATGAAATTTATTTTTCATTTGTTTTGATGAAATCTGTCATATCATTTTTTTTTAAGGTTTATTTTGGGGCTTTTTGGGCCTTTATTTGAGAGATAGGACAGTGGATGGAGTCAGAAATTGGGGAGAGAGAGGGTAGGGAAGGGAGCCACAGCTGGGATTTGAACCTGGGCCACCCGCTTGGAGGACCACAGCCTCCATACATGGGACGTGCGCACTAAGCACTGCGCCACCAGCGGCCCTTAAAAGGACTATTGAGTTAGATTATTTGTCAACAAGGCCGATATAAACTGATAGTAATGGCTTTTTGGGATTTATTTTTTTTAATCGAGAAAAAAAAAATTAGAAATGAGATTTCAGCCAATTTGACATCATCTAAATAGCGTAGGTAACAAAACTTTGCTTTGTACGGATTTTGTTTCTTCCTCTCAGTCTGCAGGAACAGTTACGTCTCTTGTTTCTGATGGAATTCCCCCAGAAGCCCTCATGTGACACATACTGAAATGCTCCACCTAACTAATAACAAAAAGTCACAGCATTATCTGCAGGTTCTGGTTACACGTTCATTTATCTGTTTTCAGGCTTTATTTAACCTTCCAGTGGGAATGTTTGACCTTAAGTTCTCATCGTCCTGACAAACAACAGCCTCTATCTGAACAACAACATTTTTTTTTACTTACTGCTGATGTAGAGTGTGGTGTCCTGCTCTCACAAGTTTTAATCATCCCAGCTGAATAGGATCCAAAGATGATCTGTGTGTGTGTATATATAATTCACGTTTTAGAGAGAGTAATAACACACCTCATTCTGTCTTCCTGTTTGTTGCAGCTCCTCCTCTGGAAGTGAATATCACTGAAAGGTCGGCACACTCCTTTGAATGTCTCACAGAGGCATATCCAGCTGCGAGCTTTACTTGGACGAGGTACAGACATTTAAATAATCTGATTCCAGAGCAAAACATTTTTACAGAAAGCAAACAAAAGAACAAAGATAATCGTGTCTCCTGCTGCCTCTCATAGGCCCACCCAGGTGCATGCTGGTCCTCTACCTGCCTCTTACTTAAATAACCTCTGGTGCCCACAGTGTTACCAAATACCTAACAAAAATATTAATGCAAAGCTAAATTTACTAAACAAACAACTAGCAAAAAGAAAACATTACCCAAAATGTAGAATAATTAAATAAACAACAACACCCAAATATTAATAAACTAAACACCAAAACTAATTCTAACAACAATTAAATAGCTCCAACAAAAACAAAAAATGTGTTTTAATGGAGTTGAAAGTAAATTTGAAGAAAAAAGAAAACATATTAATTGACAATCAACACTGAGAATTAGAGGCAGCAAACTAAGTGTCTGCTTATCCAACACTGTAACAACACAGGGAACTGTAGAGAAAAATAAGATAGAACTTTATCAGAACCAGATAGAGACAGGAACTCAAAAGCAGACTCACACGTGGCTGAGTTCAGGAACAGGCAGAGTTTAATTACAGTCCAGGTCAGTACACAGGAAGGCAAATCTTCAAGGCAAACAAATCCAAAGGGAGCAAGTCTAACACGGGGATGTATACACACAGACAATCAGGGCAGGAAAACATGAGGAGGAGGATCTGAAAAACATGACACTAGGTAACTTTATGGATCCTGTCAAACTTAAGAATTCATATAATTCCATAAAATGAATTAGCCTGGAACCAATCAGTTGATTTTGCAGGACCTTGTTTAAAGGTCCCATATTCTTCTTTTGCTGGTTTTATTTGCTCTTTAGTGTGTTTTCCAAGTGTCCTGTACATGTTTAGGCACATCTATGTGCAAAAATTCAAAGTCTGCGGAAACGCAGCTTCTCCTACGTCCTCCTGTTAGCTGTAGCATTAGCTGCATGTAACGCTCGGCTCTAGCCCCCCTCGATAAAAATGTGTCAGTCTGACGTCATTGTCGGTGTGAGATCACTGATCTAAGCCCATTGGCTCGTAGTGGCAAGCCCAGCAGCTCATGTTGAGATTTCCGAGACGCGTGCTGAGCAACTGACCAATAACGACGGAGCGGATCTGCAGACCAATCAGAGCAGACTTGGCCCACTTGGGGTCTAACAGTGTGGGCTCAACAGAGTGTAGCTGACGGACTCAGAGTGTAGAGGGAGCAAGGAGGAGCAGTACATGAAAACAGACACTTTTTTAGAACTTTATCTATTGTGAACGTACAAAAGTAGGAACATAGATTAAATATATGAACCCCAAAAGGGGCAGATTATGACCTCTTAAAGAGATTTATGCAGAAAAAATATCAATCTGTTCTATTTTATATCAGTTTTTTGGAAGTGGACATTTTTGTCCTTAGTGACTTAAGAGGGTCGTAAATTAATCTGATGCCTGAGGGTTAAGGGAGCTATCATCAAGTTCATATGACACTTTCATGATTCAGAAGGTTCTTCATCAGTAGCAGCCATTTTTTGCTCTTAATGAAAAGTCTCATCGGTGTCTGTATGGGAGAGATCAAATGCATCTACTGGAGCATGTAAAGCATTTGTTGAGTTTGCATAGTGGTGAGCTCCCAGCCAACTGTAACCAGGCACCATGTCTCCTAGCAACCAAAGGTCATTGGTCCTCCTTCATAAGGTTTTAATGACACAGTGCAGATGTTGCAAACAAAAAAAGATGCACATGTTAAATATGATGCGAAGCAACGACTGCAACCACGTCTTCACTGTTGAACATTAAGAACGCTCCAGTGATCCCTTAAACTGTGTCAAAGTCTATTCATGCTGTTTATTTCAGTGTAAAAAAACAGACCAAGACTGTTAAAGCCCACTAACAGCAGAGGAGCAAGGTGTTTCTATATATAACTGAGGACATGATGATGGGATTGTTTGATGTATGGTTTGTTGAGGGAACTGTCAATAGTAATAGTGAAAAGTGATTGCTCCAATAATAATTGATAAAATGTATAATTTTAAAAAATGTCAAAGGAAAAGCTCCTTGTAATTTAAAGAAGTGTTATAGTCATAATGATGCAGAAAAAAATGTGAATTTATTGGTATCTAAAGCTCAGTCTAAAAGGCACATACTGTGCAAAATACACTCACCCAAATTAGTCCATCTTCTCTTTCTTCTGCCTGCTCCACTTTCAGAAAACGTGTGCTCAAACAGGCCGTTTGGAGATTTTCCCTTTGTGACATCACAGGAGGAAATAACTCTTCCAAATGGGTGGGTGACACTCCCACAGTCCGCCTTCTCACCCTAAGTAGTTGGGCATGGTGCAAGAATCGGGCGGCAGTAGCTCAGTCTGTAGGGACTTGGGCTTCCTGATCACTGCCGAGGTGCCCTTGAGCAAGGCACCGAACCCCAAAACTGCTCTGGAGCACTCGCTGTGAGATCTCTCTATTAATGCATGTCCACAGGATCCTGTTTGTGCATGTGTGTGTAGCATGTTCATTAAACAGAGTGTAAATAAAGGATTAATAAAGGATAAATTATAAATTAATAAGGCCCAAGCTCTTCTAGAGGGACGGGTGGAAAAACACAGCTCATTTACATATTTAAAAGTACAGACACAGAAACAGCCTGTTCTGAGCAGGGCTGAAATAGAGGGGTTTATAAAATACAGGATCAGAGTAAACTAAACTAAACTGAAAACAACAACAGTGGAACAGCTTCCCTCTGTTTTGGTAGTGGAATGGTCTCTGAAGTGGTTACAGGCACACAGTAGAGTACTGCACTGTTTACATTTAATAGGGCGCTGCTCCTTTAAAAATAAACAATAAAATACAAATAAATGGATACCGTTGTCAGATATATATATATATATATTTTTTTTTATGCAGCTACAGCATGAAATAGTTTAGCTTAGCTTAGCTTAGAAGATAAAAAACTGTGGGAAACACACAGCATTGTTCCAAGTGAAGTTTCTGTCACTTTGGGATATTGTTCAGATTAAACAGACGATATCTTTGGTTATCAGGTGAGACAGACTAAGAAACAGCTTCTTTCCCAGAGCTGTGGAAAAACTCCTCAACCCATAACCTCCCCCCCCCCAAACAAGACGGGAATACAATGTGCAATAATTACCTAACCACTGCTAACTGTTCAATATTACTTGTGCAATAACTTTATAATTCACTGCTTTATAATTGTTTATTTATTTACTCAGTCACTGCACAATAACAACTCTATATACTCTTTCACTGCACTATAACTTCACTTATCTGCACTATCTCTCTATATATATTTATTTGTTTACCTAATCAGTTACTGCACAATTATAACTGTATATATTCTTTCAGTCACCACAACTGTCTATTTATTATTATTATTATTATTATTATTATTATTATTATTGTTATTATTATTGTTATTGTTATTATTATTATTATTATTATTATTATTATTATTATTATTATTATTCATTCACTGAACAGCAGTTGGCCACTCTGGCCACTTTTCACAAACATATTTGTCTTCATATTACCACAAATATATTTTTGTTTTTGTAAACGCTGCTGTATAGGATTGCTGCTAACAAAGTTTTCTTGTGTCCTTGTATACAATGATAATAAAGATTCTATCTTTCTATCTATGCCTTTAGAAAGGATTAAATAGTTTGTATTTGATTTCATGTCTTTGCAAAACTTTCGACAGATGGTGACCCTTTTTGGTTTTTGGGGCTGGAAGTCTTTGTTAAGCTCAGCATTGTTCTAACTTTCAGATCTGACCGGTCGTGGCCTCAGTCCGGGGTCCGAGTTGATGGTTCAACGCTGCAGTTTCTGAGCATCACCTCCGAGCTGAACGGCCTCTACCAGTGCGAGGCGTCGAACTCGTATGGGAGTAAACGTGCTTACCTCCGTGTGCATTTCACCTCAGGTGAGATCCCTTTTGACTCGCCTCCAGTTATTTCAGCAGCCAAATGAGTTTATTATAGCACGTTGTTCCCGTGGAATCCTTAAGGACATGGTGAGAGTTGAAATGCTGGATATACTTGATTAGGATTCCTCTGAGACTCCTCCATGCCGAGAATATTGAGATTTTTAAACGCAGTCTGAAAACTCATTTATTCAGTCTGGCTTTTATATAGCGCTTTATATAAATTCAAATCTTAACATTATTGTTTTGTCTTTTTTAATCCTACTACAATTTTAAATATTCCTCTCCTATGTACTAATTTTAATATCTTATTGCTTTTATGTATTGTTTTTATATATATATTAGTCTGTCAGTGATTTTATAAACTACTTTTTCGTCAATAACTTTTCTGCACTCTTGTAAAGCACTTTGAACTGCAATTTAATTTGTCTGAAAAGTGCTATATAAATAAAGTTTGATTGATGTGTGTAGATATTTCAGCTGTGTCCAACTGTAAGAAGAGGGTCCAGGATACCCTGGTTACACAACAATAGCTCCTGCACATGGCACAGGAATGCCTTTAAAGTTGCTTTAGCCTCCCTCTCTGAGCCGCCCTTTGAAAAAAAAGGCTTTAAAAGCCGACAGTGAACACCAGCTCATGTTTGCAAAACAATTGACCTATTATGGTCAAACATTCCAACATGTGAGGATGAAGCTTGTTTCACAGCTGTTCTCTCTTGAGTTTTGCAGCAGCTGTGTGATTGAAAATATAACTGTTACTGTAGATCTGTTGTCTTTTAGGGCATCTGTACTGAAGATACTATCAAACCTGAAACCAACAGGGATCAGTATCATTTAAAAACACTTTGTTAAAGTATCAGAGTGTTAAAAACGCTGACATCCCACAATAAAGATAACTTGTTATGTTTTAGTATGTTATTCACAGAATGCTATTTAATCATTAACCATTAGCAGCTGATTTAATGCCTGGCTGGATGGCAGCTGTCAGCAAATTGTTAACATAACTGAGCTGGGTAGTTTTTTGTTTTTTTCTGCCTGAAGCTCCCAGTGTTACCTGATCTGTCTGGATCTGATCTTAGTGCTGAAGGAAAAGGAGCTGAGACATTTAATAAGCTTCAGAGTGTGATTCACTGCAGGCCAGTTGTACTAATTCAGATTCAGACAACTTTATTAATCCCAGAAGGGCAATTCAGTTTCACAGCCTACTGAGTCTTGTAAAGAAAAAACAAAGACAATAAACAAAATGAGAAGCCAGAGCTAGCAAATCTAGAAATTCCAGATATGTATCTAATAAACAGATACATTCTACAATTCACTTAGCAGACTCTTTTATCCAAAGCGACGTACATCAGAGAGTAAGAACAACACAAGCAAGGATCTAGAAAAAAGGGAACAATGTCAGTAAGAGCAAATGATCAGCTTTGAGTCTGATTGGACACACAGGTGCTGACAGGAAGTGACCAGAGGCAAAGCACAACATTGAGGGCAGTTCTTGAGAGCTCTAATCAGTATAGAAACCATCTTATAAGTCGTCGTTATCAAACAAAAACCATCGTCATTACCATCATCATCATCAATAATATGGAGACCATCATCATTAAGTTAGTAGGTATTCATGAAAGAGCTGGGTCTTTAGCTTTTTCTTAAAGGTACAGAGGGACTCTGCAGATCACATGGAGTTTGGAAGTTCATAGGGAGTGTAGACCTGGATCAGAGAGTTAAAGTAAGGAGGAGATGTTTTTGTCGCTGTTTTGTAATCGAGCAGCAGAGTTTTAAATTTGATGCGAGCAGTAACTGGGAGCCAGTGTAAGGAGGTGAACAGCTCTTTTACATAAATGAATGGACCTCACAGGTCACCTAAGGGTGCAGTAACAGTCCATTCAGTACTGGGCTGCATTGGATTAAATTAACTGGTCGTGCAAATCTGTACTTCCTGTTACTTCTTCATGTTCTCCTCTGTCCTGTCTCTCTACAGGATCCTGCACTGCCAGTTGGACCCTCTTTGTTCTTCTGCTCGTCCTCGTTGTTGCTGCTGTCTTGTGTTGCTTCTATAAACGTATGGAAATTGCAAGGTACGAAATATGAAAGTATCTCAAACACTACAGTGAACTATTCAATTCTACTATTAAATATAAAAGCTTATACGGTTACATACTGTGACTACTAACTTTTACTTTTTTTATTACCTTGTAGATTCATACTACGGGAAGAAGGCGGCACACGAGGCAAGAGGCAAAAGGTTCCAACGACTTCCAGCTCACCTGAAGGCCATGACAGAGTAGAAGAAGATGGAGGGGAAACAGAGGTAAGATATTTGTTACATGGTAGGTATTCAGGGAAAGGTGAAATTCCATTGGTCATGTGACAATGACATCATCAGCTTCATGTTGCACTAACACCTCCAACATCTTCACCTGCATATACCTGCTGCTGTCTGTTTTCAACCAGTGCAGTTTGACCTGAGAGACAGAAGCTCCTGAATGCATCACAAAAAGGCCTTTTCCAATGTAGTGACTTAACAACCTAAGAACTCCCAATGGGTTTCCTTTTTCAAGTTATTCCAAGATTTATATAAAATTAAAAAAAGACTATTTGCAGACTGAGTGGAAATAAATCAAGTTTTAATGAAATGTTTTTGCCTTCTCTTCCTCAGGGAGAGCTTTGAAATCAGTCGAAGCAACAGAAGAGGATCACAGCTGGACTGAAGGTGATTTGCAGACTTCCAACACTATTCATTCCTGACGCAGCCGTTAGTGAAAATAGGCAGTATTCCTGGTGCTTTACATTTTGTTGATGTCATTGACATTGGTTTTAAAAATAGCCAATTTCTCAATTCAGATATTTAAAGTTATTGTTTCCAAATATTACAACTGAACAGCTAGTAGTATTATCAAAAAAAGAATGTCAAAAATGAACCTGAAGGTTAAGAGCTTTTCTGAAGAGTCACCAAAATATGAAAGTCAGCTACAATGTTGATGTAGAACTAACAAGGCAAAATTGGAAGAAGTCAAAAAGGAAGGAGACCGTTTAACTGTCACCACAAATGCAAAGCAGTTTTTAAACATGAAGGCCTGTGGCTTTAACCGTCAGCCACCAGGAAGGTACTCTGTTTTCCCACCAACAGTATTAACTGCTGGTCACAGCAAATGAGTATGAAGCATGTGTACATGCACACAGAACAGAACAGGTTTTGAAAGGAAAGTAGGAAAGAAGATTTTGAGATTTGTTTTTGTGTCTTTGTGCCAATCTAAGTAGTGCCTATAAACGAGGTGATCCTTACAGGAAAAGTTGAAGCACTAACAAGCCTTACCCAGCATTTTGTAGTCAGGCTATCAGTCTGCTGCTGTGACTTTTCACAGAGTTAAACAACTGAAATACACATTCAAGCACCTAAATTATGTTGTTTACAGGTCATTAGCACTTCAGTTACAGAGCTGCTAAGAGGAGCTTTCATTTCGTGTTCAATTTGACTACTACCCCCTGGTGGCTGAAATGGGTACAGATTTGTGTGAAGATGTTTTTTTTATCTTTCCATGGCTATTTAAGATCGTAACTGTGATAACAAAATGCAGTTATTCATTATGTTATGTTATGTTATGTTATGGGGGCGGCAGTGAGTACAGTATGTTATTCTTCTTTCCTCTAGTCCCTCAATTAAACAACTTTTATACACGAGGGGAGGAGTCAGCCGGCCGTCCCGACGATGTAAACAAAGTGAAGATAGGACTCTGAAAACTCTGAAAACATCACAGACAGTGGGACTCGGGTGTTACACCCATTGTAGACAGTCATGACTCACAGAGTTATTTTCAGAGGATATACTTGATTTATATTATATTTAAGTGTGAAAAATCACATAGAAAGACTTTAACACTAAATGCCAAATTTTTTCAGTGACTTTTTTTTCCAGTTTTTTATACCGAACTGATTGAAGGGAGAAACACCATTCCATTTCTAGACCATGACTCACTCCCAGCTTGAAATAGCAGATCCACTTGTGGTTAGAGGCTTGACAAAAAAACAACCTTTAAATTACATCTCAAGTCTTTGACTGACGTGTTAACTGTTGAAGAGAATGCAGCATGTTGAGGCTGAGAATGTTTTTTAGTAACATGGTGCTAATCAGTAGAGTGTTCTTTTAGACTGATAGCTGAAGTGTGTTTTTTTTTTAATTAAAGTCCTGTAAAGCCTTGCTTATCTTTTTTTACTGATGATGTTTTCTACATTTTCCCTTCATGCACTAAGCCTTATTTTATCTTACTTTGTTCTGCTGTGCATTTTATTGTTATTCTTTTTGGAAAGTTAAATCTAGATAACCAATGATGCTTTAACCACACTTTACTGTAAGACACTTTTTGTTTTTTCTTTTTTAGCGGTAAAACATTTCACTTCCTGCTCTATGGTTATCTGTTTGCTTTATTTAGCATTTTATTTAAACTGTTAATTTATTAAAGCTTGTAGAAAAACATCACAAATTCTTCAATCCCATGTCGTTCATTTGTGTGTCCTCCTCACATACCATCCCTTACGTGTAACCTGTGGTTAGCTCGGAATTGTTTTTCTTCATGGGTTGGACTGTGACACCTTTTTTTACCACAAAACAAATACCCACAGTGAGGGCAAAGAAAGAGACCAAAGCTTGTCTTCATGACTGAATCAATGGAAACAGCACCTGACAGGAAGCTGGGCTGAAGGAAACAAAAGTCCCTTCTTCGTTGTGAGACAGGAATGAATGACTTGTTAAATGGGCTGTATTTCTGGAATCAGATAAGTACTTCTTTTGTAAAGACTTGCATGACTAAAGTGAAAAACACTTTTATATCTTTACAGTTTTATTATTCATTTTTGATCACTACACTTTTTTTTTTATCTGCCACATCGTTTCGCTCGATTTAAGAATAAGTTTCTTTAATACTGAAAAAGTTGTCTGGTAAAAACATCAACAGTAACACTGACTGGAAAACTTCCCCCTATCCTTTAAAGCTGCACTTTTTCTTAGTGCAGTTAGAGGCTGTTTGAACCCTGGTTTTTTTTCTGGCCTGGCAGTCACTGTCCTTTAAATAATCTGTTTGACGGGAAGTAGGTATCAAAAAAAGCCACAGATCTAAAAAAAAAAAAAAAAAAACCAGCTCAGAAACAAATTCCAGAAAGACTTAGTTAGTAACTTGTAGGTCGACACAGTGGAACATGTGTCGACCTACACACTAAAGGAGTAGAAAATATCAACAAGAGGAAGAAGAGTCATACTGGTTATACTGGGCAGAAAATGTTTCTATGCAGCTTTAAGTAAAGATTATTTTCTTTGTTACATATAGTAGATTTATTGAGTGAGCAGTGAAGAATTATGTAAAAAAAAAAAAAAAAAAAAGGAAATATAAAATAAAGTCCAAACTAATAATCTTAAATAAAAGCAATGCAAACAAGTTTGTTTTTGCTGCACACCAGAAATAACCATGATTGAGGTCCAGGTGTGTATTTCCGCTTTCGTGCACGGTTTCACACGTCTTCCTATTACTTCTAATTTTACATTCCTCTTGTCCTTTACATTTCCGGGCAGTGCTTTGAATCAGTTAGCCCTGGTTTTGCTACGGCTCTCGAAGCAATTTTCATAGATATCCTCTGTTTGCTCATGCTGAAAAACAAACAAACAAACAAATAGAACAAAGATCAGATATTTGCATACTGCAGCTCAGTCGGATGTCAGTGTGTCCACAAAGCCTTCTGAATCTACAGACTGTATAAAAAGATCACAATGTTTTATATTTACCATGTCTGCAGGGAGAGAGTGAACACAAGTGCTGTGAAAGACAGACATGGTGTTAATACTTTTGTGGCATTAGCATTAGCATGGTATTAGCATTAAAGATGTATATGAGCATATAGTCACATGTTCAAAAGGACGAAGGCGACTTACTCTGAACCCTTTCTGCAGACTTTCAGCATAATGATCAACGCTATTATAAAGATCAGGCCACACACACAAGGCACAGTGGCTGCCATCGCAAGCTTATTCCAGTGTTTAACTTCCACAGGGTCTGTGGAGAAAAGAAGCGTTTAATGATCACTTTACGTGGATAAATTGTTCTTTAACTCATGTTTGACTTTTGTGTGTATAAAATCTAAGCAGCATTTAATGCAACATTTTTTTTAAACTAAAGCTCAAAGTTATGCATTAATGAGGGCATTGCAACTTTGAGTGCTGGGGGCGCGAGCTAACTTGTCAACATTAGCTAATTTGCTTTAGTTTTATTAGCTACCAGCTTATTTTATTTTGAAATGTTATGAGAATCAGTGTCTGTGCTCACTGTACCCAGCTTGTTCGCTTGTCAACTTAAAAAAGGCATAGCGTCCAATTTTTTTAATTTTTTACTTACTGGAATACTTTCCACTGTTTGTGATTATTATTTATTTTCTGTCTGTTTTTTTATGTTCACCTTTTGTCTTATGTTACATGTTCAAAATAAACAAATCAAATCAAACTTGCCAACTAATTCCAAATCTGCTCCGCTCTAGCTCCAAAGAAGAAAAAAATAACACTAGAGCTGTGCTTCCCAAAGTGTGGGCGGCGGCCCCTGGTGGGCCGAGTGGGTACTGCAGGTGGGCTGCGAAAAGCCCTCCAAGTTTAAAGATAAAATAAATATAACAATAATGATGATTAACCATGAGTCAACCCTTTGAGTGATTAGTAAGGCGTGTCATGACTATTCATGGACATAATGTTCAGTAAACTTTCCTGTCTATCTTGTCATAATATCATGTTGTCATGTCCAATAATTTACCCGAACTGAAAGTGAGAGCTGTAGTCAAAACTTTTATTTTATAACGAGCCCCGGAGTCATTTTGTATTTCAAAGTGGGTGCAGAAAGGCTGCACTAGAGATACCACTTAGCCGTGGCTTTAATGTTAAATTACAGCCTTTAAAACCGATGGTAGGAACGTCATCATGCTGGCTGTAATGCACTATTTTTATAAAATAGTGAGATCACTGTTTCATGAGGTCGTTTGGTCTTTTAAAGTTCGTCAGGCTTTAACACTAAGAGCCACTATACCTCAGCTCAGACTATTTGAAGCTATTTGGTAAACCAGCGTGTTAATGATGCTCCTATTTTTATCAAAGAGAATAATAAATCTGACAAAGTAACTCCATTGAGTATTGTTCATTTACTGAGGAGAATGAAGGAGTCAGAACCCACACCTCCATGGCTGTGAAGCTCTTTTGTGTGCGTGTCTTTGAGGATTGATGAATTTGTTGTACTCACCTGTGTTTATTCTGCACTGTTAGTGTAGGCCTGCTTATGCAAATATCAACTGTGTTATCTGTTCAGACCCAACTGTCGCTCTGTCTCCCTGCTCCTACTGCCCTGTTGAAACAGGTTTTTCCTGTTTCCTGTTCCTGATGTGTCTAATCTTATAAAAAAAAAATAAAAAAAAAGGATTGAATAGCACACCTGTAATGATCAGTTCCCACTTCTGTTCCCAAACTCCCGTCGGTGTGGTGGTCATGCAGGTGTAGTTTCCTGTGTGAGACGTCTGGGCTCTCTCTATGATCAGTCCGTACAGCTTGCTCTCTGAATCTGACATGTTCATGTTCAGGATCTGAGCTTCAGGAGTCATGTGGAACTGTTGCTTTGGGATGAAACTGAACAGGAGCTGAGTCTCGTTCATCATCCATGTTAGCTGTGTGGGACGGCCGATTGACTTGTTGTTACACGGCAGGTTCACTGACCGGCCAGCCTCAGCAAAAACCAACTTTCCTTCTGTAAGGGAAACAGGAATTTCAGTAGATTCTCTTTTAACTTTAAAGTCTTTATTTGTGATTTTTCACTCTTGAATGTAGAAATTAAGTTTATCCTCTGAAAATAACTCTGTGAGTCATGACTGTCTACAATGGGTGTAACACCCGAGTCCCACTGTCTGTGATGTTTTCCGAGTTTTCAGAGTCCTATCTTCACTTTGTTTACATCGCCAGGACGGCCGGCTGACTCCTCCCCTCGTGTATAAAAGTTGTTTAATTGAGGGACTAGAGAAAAGAAGAATAACATACTGTACTCACTGCTTAACTGTGTTTCTAGATCACGCTCATTTCAGGTAAATTTACATGCAGTGTGAAGATACCAGCATAATAAAGATCGCTAGCATTAGCATGCTAACACAACAATGCAGTACGAGTTGTTTTGGTTTCATGCTGGTGCTCAAGGGCGACATCTGCTGGATCAAAACATCACATATAAAGCCTTTAAACATATTTCATCATTAAACTATACTCCAGTTAAAACAATACTTTAGAAATATTTCCTTGCAGAGAATGCAATGTGAGGATCAATGAGACTCTATCAGTGTAATGACAATAAAGTTGAATCTCATCTCATCTCATCAGATTTGAAGCTTAAGCCAGCAAGCTGTTTAGCTTAGCTTAGTTTAGCAATGGAAACAGTGGGAAACTGTTAGTCGTGGCTTTTGCGTGGGTTCAAAGAAATCCCCCTTACAATCTCTTTCTCAGCTCACTTCCTAACACCTTACTTATTCCTTTTTTTTGTTCCATATAATAAAAAAGTATAAAACCATCATTTAACATTTTATGTTTGCATGAGAGTGTTGTATAGACTCTCTCTCGTTCATCTCTCCCCAAGAAGGATTCTTTTTTCACAATGACCAGTACACACAGTCGTTTTTTACCTGCTTGTGAGGAAATCCAGACCATGTAAAATATCAGGGAAAAGGTCTTCCTGATGCCTGTGTGTTTGTAGAAATTCTCCATCGCACCTTAAAAACAGAAATGATATTGTAAAGCTCGTGTGTGTCTGGAAAACTGGGCATGTGATTTGCTCAAATGAGAAATTGTTACCATGATTTTGTTATGAAATCACATTATTGTACTGGAATGTGCGCATTTAGAATTCATATTTAAACTTCAAAGAGAGCCTTACGGGGAAGAGCGTCCTGTCCAAGTAATGCGTTAATGACTAACTATTCATCTGTGATGTTATTTATAACTTCAGATCAAATGAGAACACAAACAATTCAGAACATCAAAATATTACTGATGTTGAGGATTTGTTTTTTTCAAACTGCTGTAAAATCAAACGAATGCTCACAATATTTATAAAGAAGATCGCAGCCTCTCCTAACCCAGATATATGATGCTCAAAATCACTACCTGTACTCACCCGTAGAGAGAATCTGCATCTGCTGATCAGATATGTTTGAATGTTTTTAAAGGCAACAAAACGGTACGTTTTAATGTATAAGGTGTAGATAAATGAAAAGTAAAATACCTGTTATTGGTAGAGTAGCTCACATGCATTTGAAGTCTTAAGAGGAAACCTGCCCAGACTGCCCACTCAGTGTTTCCTCACAGGAAGTAGATGCTGTGATGGGTTTTGGTTAGCTGTATCGTGCTCTGTATGTGTGTCTGTTCTCAGCCTTTACTCAGAATGCAGTTGAGATGTGTTGATGAGTTGGAACTAAAACTCTTTTGTGATGGGCTACTTTTCTGCACAAAATGCCCGGGCCCGTATATTTACAAACATCCTGAGAATCCTCTCAGAGAGTCTTAGCCTATAGGAATGATTTAGGAACATTCTCAGAACAACTCTGAGCGAGGAGGGGACAGAAACTTTTATCTTCGTGAGGAGGCGTGGTGGACCCTCATTGCTAGGTATGACACATTCGTTTTCAGAAGCTGTGATTGGTTAATCCAAACAACATTTATAACGAGAGTCAAACATAGAATCTATTCAGACATCGTGTAATTATGAACACTTTGAAGTTAGCGTCTGTGTGTAAGTTAGCATCTTATAAAGTAAGATGTACTTTATAAGTATATAGCCTTTCTTTTTTTAACTTTTATTCACCAAAACATGCACACACACACTCACACAATAATAAAAAAAGAGATACAAACAAGAGGGGAGCTGTGGTACGATCCAGTTTTGCAAGCAGATTTAGACAAAAAACAAACAAACAAACAAACAAACAAACAAAACAAAAGGAATCACATGATGATTGCCAAATACTGACTGTTTGTAAATTATATTAAAATTGTTGTGCTAATGTCCTCTCTCCTCCTCGTTTACCAGCATACAAGATGTTTGAAAATCAGACGCTCACTTGTGCCGCAGCTTCTTCACATGCTGATCGTTACATCAGCAGGTAAAGAGTCTTAATCAGTGATTGGATGCAGCTGTGGAGGTGAACACACGTAGAAAAACTCAACATGCATGTCTCACTTTGTACTGAAAAAAGTCATAGATGGATTTAAATGTCTGCACAAATCATTTTTGTCTGTTCAGCCCAACTGTTAGTCAAAAATATTCTTCATGTCGTGTTTGGAGAACATTTCTCTGTTTCCTCCTCAGCTTGAGAAACTCTTCATCCTGTTAAAAGTCCTCCTCACGAATCCTCACAGTTTGACACCTCAGGAGCTCTCTGAAGGGCTAAGACGCTTTGTGAATAACTTTCATCTTTACAACGATCTAGTCTGAACTTTGAGGGGAAATTCTTAGAAAATGTCTTGATTCTAAGAATTTTCTTAGAATTTTGTTCATTAGGATCAACTTTTAGGATTTAGGAGGCTTCGTGAATTTGGCCCCTGTTGTGCAGGAGGCCTTGGATTACATAAATTGTTAAAGTCCTTCAGTGGGCTATCAAGTGTAAAGGTAAAAATGAAAGTGAATGAAAAATGAACCTTGCATCTTTATTTTGGCAGACTCTGAAACCCCAAAAATGAAAATACAAACTGAGCTCATATCAAATGATGATTGACAATGGCAGCTTTGTCTAGTGAGGCAAACCCATCAGCAGTGTAGAGCCTGAGGCTGAAACAACCTATTGCATTGCAACGTCTGGAATTCTGCTCTGACTCCGCTCACGTGGGTGTGGTCAACCAGTCGAGGACACCAGAGAGCTCAAACACAGCTGCACTGTTCTCACCACACATGCAGACACACCCCATTCCACAATATCCGGTTGTAAACCCTCTTTTTACTTACAGACACTCAAAGACTGCAGCCTCCTCCACAAAACTCCCAAAGCCACTTGGAATTTAGCCCTTTCATCTTAAAGACTGCTCAGTTATCTGTGTAACCTCAGGCTTTCCTATTTCTCCAGCCGGCATTGAAAGCATCATGAGCTAAAAAAAAGGGAGGGAGGGACTTTAATGCTGAACTACATTAAGCTCCCCCTGCAATGGAAAACATTCATGACATAACACGTTTTTTTTATACAAATGAAGCAGTTAAGTCGGGCTCTGTATATTTAGAATATAAATATCAGATTGTTGACGTGTTGCAAACTGTGGGTTTCTGTGTTGTGTAGTGATAGTTTTAAATGGTGCTGTGACACCAGGATTATTTTTTTAAGACGATTTATAGTCGATGAAAGGGAACCGTATGAGCAGCACAGCAATATAACATTAAATATAATTTAAAAATATATATATAGGTCTGTGTGTTTTTGTAGTGCACGTTTAGCCGTTATAATGTTACTAATAAAAACATGACTATTTCTTTGTGACTTTCTAATCAGATGAAAGCATCGACAGTCAGTAAAAAAAAAACACAACGACATGGTTAGAAATGAAATATGAACACAAAAGAAGCTAAATAATGGGACGGATGAAGATAATGAATGAGCTTTATAAAATAACACCCACAGGGGAAGTGTGCAAAAGTGTCCGAGGGGAGGAGGCAACACAAATATGGAAATAACCACAGAAGAAGAAAACAGGGGTAGGAGGGGCTGCATACTACAACATGAGACCCTTTCCGAATAGTCACAGTTCAGTAATCAGTACTATTCAGTAGGAGTTTCAGTAGACTGAACCCTCGTGGTCATTCAGTGGTTATTTATTGGGTCCACCTCAGTATACTGAACATTTCAGTATGGATACTAACTTTTAATCTAGAGTTAAAGTCCCGACTGAAATCACTACTTTAAATAAACAACAGAAAATATAACAAATATCTGCATTATTATAAAACCTTTCCCCCTCTATTTAAATAATGATTTCACTATTTAAATAATGATTTCACTATTTAAATGTGTCTTTATTGGTTTATTTTATATTCTGTATATTACTGTCTTTCATTTGTTCTTTATGTACTGTATGTTATTTAGTTATTTAATATTTTACTTGATTTACGAGATTTAAGAAGAAGCCTACTGTGTGTGCATACTGAAGAGTAGGTACTAACAGTATGCAGCACGGATAGTACGTACTGCATACTGCATACTGAAAGATTCAGTATGTACTTGGCAATTCGGATACGGCCCATCATGGAGTCTCGAGGTCCTCTCATTCAGAGCACTAAGCTAGAGCCACATTAGAGATTGTGTTGTTGTTGAGATTCTAAGATGAGAAGTCTTAACATTATGAGAGTTAAGTCGTAATATTACAACATTAGAGTTGTGGTATTACAAAAATAAAGTTGTGATGAATGTTCCGTTTAAATCCAAATATCTTGCCGTGTCTTGACGCATCATTAAAATTAATTTAACACTAGATATAAACTGGGGAAATGTATTTATCATTTCAGGTGGATTCTATCCACTTTCAAAAGCATTTCAAGGAGCTTTGAGTTTCATGGGCAATTTACAAAATCCTTCAATATATGGAGGTTTATTCTGAATGTCCATTTTTACATGTACATGTATTTTTACAAGGTATTGTCATTCCGACAGATTACCTAAACGTTCAATTTATTAAACTATTTTCAGAAGCTGTGATTGGTTAATCCAAAAAAATGATAACGAGAGTCAAACATAGACTCTATTCAGACATTGTGTAATTATGAACACTTTGAAATTAGCGTCTGTGTGATAATCTGTAAAACGTACTTTATAAGTATATAGCCTACAAGATGTTTAAAATCACATGCTCACTTGTGCAGCAGCTTCTTCACATGCTGATCGTTACGTCAGAAGGTAAAGAGTCTTAATCAGTGATTGGATGCACCTGTGGAGGTGAACACACGTAGAAAAACTCAGCATGCATGCATGCATAACCCTCACAGTTTGACACTTCAGGAGCTCTCTTAAGGGCCAAGACGCTTTGTGAATAACTTTCATCTTTACAACGATCTAGTCTGAACTTTGAGGGGAAATTCTTAGAAAATGTCTTGATTCTAAGAACTCAAAGCTCCTTGAAATGCTTTTTGAAAGTGGAAAGAATCCACCTGATTTAAAGTCATCAAGCATCATGTACTCAGTAACATGTAAAACATTACATACCATTATCATTCTGGTCACACATGTTCATCCTGTGTGCACTTAGTTGCACCAAAGCTCTGAATATTAAGCTGCCTTTGTGGTCATAGCAATGCATCAGTCTTCTTGCACAATCTTTTCCTGATACTTGTGAAAATGTGTTGCTGATGAGCCGAAAGATTAAGAACCTTGTGAAATCTATCTTTAGGTAGGCTATAACGTCACAGGATCTATGCTCTACTTTAAACACAGGAAACTGACGTGGCCTATGTCCCTTCAAAAATACATCTTTAATCTCGCACATTTTCGACACGAGGCTACGATCTCATTTAAAAGGAAACTTCAACATGGCTCTAATACTCAGTTGAACAAACATCTGACAATTTCCAGGAAATGTATTAGCTAATTATATAAATAATGAAAGATGCACTTGCAAACATGAATGTGTTAAGCTGCGTTATCACTTGATGAATGATCTTGTGGGTATGTTGACATTTTTGTCCTTTTGCGCAAATGTTTCCTCTTTATCTGATTATCATTTTTTCTGTGTTAGTGCATGTGGCTCAGAACTACCAAACATTCAATCATTTTTAGGAATTTAACCCTTTAAATGCCAGTTTGATAACATAATTCTGGCATTTAAAGGGTTCAATTCCTGATAATTACTCAATATTTTATATTTTGGAACAGGGCTGGAGTTGTTTAAGAGATTTATGCAAAAAAAAAGTAGAAAAAATATCAATCTGTTCTATTTTTATATCAGTTTTTGTAAATTGAACATTTTTGCCCTCCAATGTCCAAACAGGGAACTACATTTTAAATCTAATGCTACACAAAAACTAACAATGCATCAAAGTCAATATTTTGCATAATCTTTGACATATCCAAGACTGATTTAAATTATAAAATTATTTTATTTTAAAATATTTCCACAGTTGAAAGTTCTTGAAAGCAATTGAAGTTTTTTTTTTCTTTTTTAAACCCTTTGTAAACTGAAAGTCTAACGGGAAGGCCCATCATGGAAAATAAATAGCTTTTACAATACTGCCCTCTAGTGGTCTCGTAACTGTAATACTCACTCACATCACCGTCACACCCTGAGTCTTTCATTAAAAACCCATTTAATCAAAATGTTTCTTTATAGTTAAACCAGTGAACTGCATGTCAGTCCCAGTGGAACATATCCACTGCAATAGTTCCACATTGTTTTCATTTCATCCCTGCGCTTTTAATTTTTTCTCACACAGTCCAAAGATGGTTTAAAGATAAAAAAAGATTACTCTTGGATATGACTTTAATTGCTGGACATACAAGTAATCACTGATTAAATTCCTATAATATAAAATCATACATTTCTCTCAGACGTGCCATCCTGCAGAATGAGTGTATTTTTTATTTATTAAATTTATCAGGATGTAAATTATTAGGCTGCACAATATGAGAAATATAAATGAAATACATGATTCAAAATGTAGTAGTGCAAACAACTCACAGTTTTTATCTCTAACTGCCGTTCTTCAAATTTAACACAATACTTAAGTTTGTAACATGTTTCTCCTGAGTCCAAATTATATCAAAGATCAAACCAAACTGGACCAAACTGGCCCAAATGAATCTAAGGGAAGCTGCTGTTTAACATCTGACTGCTTTAAAATGGTGTGAAAGCCATTATACCCAGGCCCCCCATCCTGCGGACCCCAGGAAGATTAGCTTCTCGCTGTGCTGAAGCCAACAGGGCTCCAAATAAACAAACAAACAAACAAACATGAACGCATGCCGAGTGAAAAAGTAAAGTTTTGCCTTTTTCTAAAAATGATAAAAAAATCTTATTCATTGCAATGAATTGAAACTTTTATTATGTTTATTACAAATACTGAAACTCTTTAATGATTAAATTGAGAATAATTGCGCAGCCCTAATGTTAATACTTTTGTTTCTTTTTTTCCTAACCACAGTTTATCTCCCCTTTGGTTCTAAAAAATAAAAAAAAACTCAAAGCCAATTATTTCTGCCTGAAAGAGATTATAGCCAGAGGAGGAACAGCAGTGGAAAGTTTGGACTTTTGCAGACCCTTAGACTTTTGGCCCATCCAGATAAATGTTAGGTTTCTGAAGAGGCCTTGTGTCTTTTTGGGTTTAAAATACAGATAGACTGCAATCACCAATACAACCGAGTTGGTAAGTTTGGTAAGGGTTCAAGACTGCAACCAGATTTTTACTAGTTTAATGTGTTTGTAAAAAATAAAAATAAAACATGTCTATCATTTATCAAAACATAAAATGTTGTAAACCTTGATTTTATTCAGTTTATAAGGTAAAATTATTTTCATATTTTCCAGTCTCTCAACACTTATTAATAGTATTTTATTAATAGTTTTGATCTTTTGCTAATTTAAAAAAATACACATGTTGTATTTGTGGTGAAGTATTCTGAACAGTTTTTGCATTCAGTTGAGATAAGTGTTAACATAGTAGATGACTAAACTCTGTTTATATCTGTGTGTGTGTGTGTGTGTGTGTTTGTGTGTGTGTGTGTGTGTGTGTGTGTGTGTGCGCGTGTGTGTGTGGACTCTGCAATGAAACACCTACACAACACTTCTTGACCACGTGTGACTTTTTATTGCGTTGGTTCACATTTCAAAAAGAAGATACTGCCAAACATCTATCAGCAAAGAAGACTACAAGTTAGTAAAAAGAATCTTTTTTTTTCTTTCTTTCAAAAAAAATTAAGGAAGTCTTCTTACAAACATACGGGCAATTTAACAGTCTTAAAAAACAAAAAAAAAATCATACGTTATCCATTTACACAAGGACCAGCATTACGTTTGAATTGTGTCAAAACTGCTAAATGCAAAAAAAAAACTGTGTTCAACAATTTAGATATTTGTTGAAGGCTCTCTTTGTCGGATTCCACAGCATTGGATTATGGGGGCCCGAGGGATGGCTGGGGGTCACAAAGGGGTCAAAGCTGCCTTCTCTCTCAGAGTTTCTCCAGAGCCGTTTGATCATACCCCCAAAACCAACACTGCAAGGTGTGTGTGTGTGTGTGTGTGTGTGTATGTTTGTGCACACAAAGGCACATATGAGCACAAACCTGCACAATGTGTCTTCATGTCTGCAAACATGCAACATAATACCCTCATATTATTTTTTCAAACATTAATATATAACCATACTTCAAATTCTTTCTTGAGCTACATAACCAAAACATGTTGTGTTTGTGTTTGCTGGTGGGGGTGGGGGTGGCCAAAATGAGAAAGTCTGATTTTTTGTTTTTTTAAAGAGTTAATAAAACATCAAGTTCATGCAGGTCCCAGAGAAATATAAGCATTTGCTACAATCGTAAACATTTGAGAATTTACATTTTACAGATAAGGCACAGAAAATCACACGAGGGTTTTCAATAAACAAAGCCAGAGAATGTGAGTAAAAGAAGATTTGTGATGAACCTAATTGCATACCTTCAGGCGTTATGCGCTTTATGTGAAAAAAAAAAAAATTGCAAAAGATTTGTAAGGAAAATGAATTTTATCCTCGGATAGATTCATTGTTTTGAATTTTTCTCTGTTGGGATTTTTTGGGGTTAAATCACAGTTTGTATTTTATGTGATTTCCTATAGACAATGAAAAAAAAACTGCACATTATGTACATTATCAGACATGAGATTAGGGCGTTATGTACAGCGGGGGGTCGCCCCTGGTTGTTTGTTACCCTATGAATTCAAAAGGCTGTCATGAGTATTGTGTGTTTTTTTCTTGCCGGGTAAGTGACCCACTACGGTTACACAAATTCAAGTCGAAAGATTTTTTTTCACAGCTAGGTTCAAGGATGCTTGTTGTCATTGATGAGCGTTGGTTTTCTTTTATTGTCTCGCCTCAAACAATACTTTGTGCTGATGGTGCATGATCTTTATCGTCCCGGACGCCTGTTTGTACAGCGCGAAAAGAGAGGATTTGGCCTGAGGTCGCTCGGTTGGTCGCTGCTGTAGCTCATTCTCCATTCGGGACCAAAATGAGCCCTGCTCACTCTCTTTTGCATGGACAACTAATATCACAGTACATAGTTCTACTTAAAGCAAATCTACGTCGAAGAGAAGCAGAATCACATTGAAAAAGACATTCAACATGTGGTCTTTTTTTTTTTTGTCTGTTTTTTCCTCACTATCTCAGCTCTGGCTCTGCTACATGGTATATAAACATGAAAAAGGAGAGAAATGCTCTGATAGTGATGCACATCTCTCTTTAACTTGAAATAATCCTTTTGCTAAATGGATGCACAGATGAGTGTGTGTCATGGGGGGTTTAAGGCCTTGCACATTCAGAGTCGTTACTCTTGAATGTGCAAAATAAAATTAAAGATAAGCTGTTCTCCTGAAACTGGACTTCTCCATTTTCAAAGAGCTCCTTACCTTTAAATGTAACGGCACTTAATCATGCAGTGAGTGTAAAGCGAGATCCCGACCTGCTCCGCTTTGTGCAGCTTTTTTTTTTTTTTTTACTGCATATGAAACCTGTGATGAACCTGTCTGAATGGAAATGAAAGTCGGTGCCTAACTACAGTGAAATATCAGGTTTGTAGACACACAATTATAATCTAACTCTCTCTTTCCCCTATCTACTCAAACCCCCATGTAAAAATGTCTAACCCCTCCATTGTGTATGATTAAAACTCTTTCAATAGAAAAAGGTGTTTTTAAAATTAAACATTGATTTTCATCAAGTAAAAACATCCCCGCCCCCCGCCCTGCATGTGTCCCTTACACATTTTTAAATATAAGAACACGCTTAATAAAAAAACCTACTCCTCCTGTCTCTACTTTTTGGTATTTTGGTTCGTCACAAACACAAAGATTTTTTATTTTTTTCTTCGATTCGAGTTGTCGCCTGTGTTTTTAAAGCTCTTAATCTCAGCCTGTTTTTACTTTGTTTTTGTTTTTTGACCTGCCTGTTCAACAATGTTGCATTGTCTTGAGCGTGTGTGTGTGTGTGTGTGTGTGTGTGTGTGTGTGTGTGTGTGTGTGTGTGTGTGTGTGTGTGTGTGTGCTCTCTCTCTTATGTTGAATGATAGCTGAACGCAGGTGTGTGTGTTTCTCCCTCTCACAGGTTCATACGGTGAGATCGTCTGACCTGGCCCTGCTGCTGGCTTTGCTCAGTCGGCTCAGCGGTCTGGTGTCTTCTATTGTATCGGCGGCCTCCGCCGCGGTCACCCCGTCGTCGATCGCCGCCTCCTCTACCTCCACATCCTCGTCCACCCGCTCCGCTTCCTTCTCCGCAGGCTGCTGCACCTCCTCCTCGTGTAATATCACCCCCCCTGTCTCGGTGGTCTGAGCGTAGGAGGGCAGCGCCTCGTCGTACACCTTAGAGAAGTCCTCCATGGGCAGCACCTTCTCCGACTTCTCCTCCAGCCCCCCCTGGAAGGGCGGGGTCCCCCTGCCCGCCTCCATGCCGACTTCAGCCAGCGGGTAGAGGTGAGTCATTTGGGGAACTTTCTCCTCCTCCAGCAGCCTGTAACCTTTGACCCGCTGCAGGGAGGGCACGGCCAGCGGGGGCAGGCTCTTCCCCTGCAGCGGCAGAGGAGGCGCCGAGCCCTCGCCCTGGGCCGGGGCCGGGGCCGGCTTGCGGAAGACAAAGCGGATCTTCTTCAGGCCCAGGTGGCTGATCTCCACAAAGTTGAGGAAGAGCGAGACGCAGGCCACGGCCAACATGAAGATGATGAAGACGGTTTTCTCGGTGGGTCGAGACACAAAACAGTCCACGGTGTTGGGGCAGGGCCAGCGGCTGCACTTGTACAGCGGCAGGATGCGGAAGCCGTACAGGAAGTACTGGCCCACCACGAAGCCCACCTCGAAAAGAGTCTTGAAGATGATGTGGCAGATGTAGGTCCTCAGCAGCGTGCCCTCCAGACGGAACTTCTTGCTCCCCTTTGTGCTCGTCTCCTTGGTGGTGCGAACGCTGCCCTGGTCGGGCGCCAGCGGGAGACGCTCCTCGCTCAGCTCCTGCTGCCGGCTCAGCTCCGCCTCCTCGCGCTCCTTGCGCTTCTCCTCCATGTGGACGTGGTGCACGGCGTGGCCCACGTACACCAGAGACGGCGTGGACACGAAGATGATCTGCAGCACCCACAGGCGGATGTGGGAGATGGGGAAGGCCTCGTCGTAGCACACGTTCTCGCAGCCGGGCTGCTGTGTGTTGCACACATAGTCGGACTGCTCGTCGCCCCACACGAACTCCGCCGCCGTGCCCAGGATGAGGATGCGGAAGATGAAGAGCACCGTGAGCCACACCCGGCCGATCACCGTAGAGTGCTCGTTTACTTCCTCTAAAATATTACCCAGAAAGCTCCAGTCACCCATGATCGGTCCGTAGCACTGAAAAAATGAAGGGTGGGGTGGAAGAGGGGACACAGAGGGTGCAGGGAGAGAGAGAGAGAGAGAGAGAGAGAGAGAGAGAGAGAGAGAGAGGGTGGGGTCGTAGGGACGGACAGGGAGGGGTGGGGAGGGGGAGGGGGGGGAGAAAAGTAAGAAATATAGAAGAGGAAAACTTAAAGATGTCAAAAATGAAGCCTAAGCCTTAATTTCATGCTAGCACTTTGTATTGTAGTCGAAATTTATATGTAGGCCGATTTGAAACGTCAAACGAGGGGCGTTTAAATCAACTTTTCATTAAATAGAAAAAAAATGAATAAAATATTACATTAAAATTCTTAACTTTAGTTTTACCTTTTGACAGGCTGCTCGCTCTGATCCCTTTAACAATGATTAACATTTACCCGTGTAGCAAACCAAATAAAAGTGCCTCTAGCTTCATAAAGAACGCCACAGAATAACCCCCCCCCCTTCATAAAGATTCATAAAAAAGAAGTTCAATCATTAACAAATAGTTCCGTCTTCTTTTAGGGTTTCGATATCTGTTAAATGTTATCAAATGGGCAACTTGCCACAGCTGCGGCTCCGGCAGAAGTTGAGTCCTGTCCCGTTCTCTTGGCACCCGGCGGAGAAAAGTGAACTTTTTTCTGCCCTCTTTCCCGAACTAAAGCCCCGTCCTTGTCGCCCCACTGAGCAGATGTGAATGAATCGGCTCTGATGGTTGGTTTTTAGTTTGCTGCAATATTTAAGCTTGGAGCCAGACAGCCTTTATTTGCCGGGCGACGTGTGGTGACGCGGGAGACAATAGGATCAACAGGGCCAGAGCGGGGATGTATGGGAGCAGGCCTCGGGGCTCCCACACCAACATGGACAACTGTACTGCCGGGGCACCGAGTCCACAGCAGAGCAGCTACAGCTATGTGCATCCCAACATCCTCACACACACACACATATATATATACTGTATGTAGAAGCACTGATACAGTAGATGGAAAAAAAACACAAACAGCAGCTGATTTATTTCCATCCTGCAGCCATGCCTCAGTGTTAGAGCAGAGAGGCAGGTCAGGGACGACCTATTGGCTCGAGAGCAAATAAAGGGAAAAATTGTCTCCTGATGCGTTAACACTGCACATCATTGTTTATACAATTATTCAGAACGAGCAGCAGCAGGTTCATCTCTGCTCTGGGTAAATATCAGATATGTGCTCTCATGTTGGACTTCATTAAAAAGCTGGTTGTGGCCTTCTCATTTGATTTAAATATCTGAACAATTAGGTTGTTTTAGTGTGTCATACAAACAGCTGGCTTCAGTTGACACAACAGAATCATTTTAAGCCATGCATGCATCTACAAGAATGCATATTCCATTCAGATTTCCAGACCTCAATATCTGCAACAAAATCTATAAAACACTCACAAACTGAGCAAACATCCACATTTTCATCAAGACTTTTGTCATCATTGCCCCAGAAGATTTTTTTTATATATATTTACAATATTTCAAATCCTGTGGAAGTAAAAACAGCTCATGGTATTCATTCAACGCTATTGCCAAAATCACACCGACCACATATTATATATTCCTCAATTTATGGACATGCTAAATATCAAAAACACCAAAACAAGTTGACCAGATTGTTTTTGTATTTTATTAATAGTTTTGATCTTTTGCTAATTTAAAAAAATACACATGTTGTATTTGTGGTGAAGAATTCTGAACAGTTTAGTCAAGTCAGTTTAGTTAAGTGTTAACATAGTAGATGACTAAACTCTGTTTATATCTGTGTGTGTGTGTGTGTGTGTGTGTGTGTGTGTGTGTGTGTGTTTGTGTATCATCATATCCATGTCACTTAGCTGGAATTTGAAGAATGTGGGCCATTGAGTGAAAGGAACATAGTGAAATGTCTCTTAATAGGTTTGTTAGTCGAACTCTCCCGGCTCGGGGAACAAAAACAATAAGTAACAATCTTTGATGTGTGAGTTATTCCACAGATGTTTGAACAGATGAAAAGCTGCTGCAGAGCCCCCACAGAGGCGTGTTATCACTGTCTAAGTATCTCCAAATCCCTTTATGAAATAAACTCCAGGTTTGCACAAATACAATCAATCACCCCAAATAACCTCTCAAATACGATGTATAATTAAATCATTCTTTCATTTGGGCAGAATGAATCCTTCATGATGGGTCACATGGACAGGTTTGGCTAATACATTCAAATAGATTGTTTAGATACATGAATATGTGATGAACACAGAAGAGCAGAAATAAAAGACTGATGCACCTCCTGATTATATGTTTATCAGGAGGAGACTGTAGATTAAGTAATTTATATTTATAATCATCCTAATACAGCAAAGATACAACTCATTTTTTTTTTAAATGAATTAATTTAATCAAGCCTTTGTGTAAAGTTAAAATGGAGAAGTAAGCTGTATGAAGTAGAAAGTGTGTGTCTTAGATTTTAACATATTTAAATTAATTGCCGTTCCTAATGTAGCTTTGATCAAAAGACATTATCCATGATAACTTTATGTTAATATATACATGTACATTTTTAAATCAAATCAAATACTAACACATTTATCAATACTTAAATATATTGGATAAGTATATTTTACAATAACAAATTATTTTTCTCATTGCTGAACAGGATCTAACTCTTATATAAGTCGTGCACATTGATGCAAAAACATTGATATTTTATTTGAAGTACAGGAAGTTAAGACATCATTATTGAACTAGTTAAGACACAATCTAACTCCTGGTTGTCGTGGCTTATTTGCTTAAAAACAGGTCATCATTGTGCTCTGTAACGTTTTTTAAGATGAAGAATGACAATGTGTTTCCATGTGCCTGTATCAGCATGTCAGCAGCAGGGTAACAGGATGTTGATGTTCTATACATCATATAATGCTACACATTGTGTTGTAATGCAGAAACTCACAATTCTGAAAAGCCACGATGTATATCAGCAAAACGATTTCTTTGTGCTGGCGATTAATACATTCATTAAACAGCAAACTTGAACTTTGTCAAAGTTTATTTGAAGAGAGCTTTTTGTTTGTCTTTTTATCTAAACTGTTGAAACTTGTTCTGCCGGTAAACCACTGATGCACCAAATTAAAGGAAAGAATCACATAAATACACAGCTGTTTGCTTACAATCACACAACTCATTTCCCTTTGCACAAGCTCATTTCCAGGTTCCACAATTGTGCTATACTCTTTGGACCCAGTAAAGTTTGAACAAACACATTTTCTGTGAAGTCTGATGTGCCTCACTGCTTGATGTTTTAAAGTTGCATAATTAAAAACGCATACATCATTTATTTATTTATCATAGATGTTGACCAAAAAATGTTTTTTATTTTTTAAAAAGGTTCAACATTGATGAATTTATGTTGAAGCTTTAAAAAAAAAATTATATATATATTTTGCATTTTGGTGCTTAATGAATTTGTTCAATTTAACCAAATTCTGTGAAACTGCACTTAAAGACCATTTTTAGTTCAGTGCTGTTTAATCAAGTGAAACAAATAGAAAAATGAAAATGAAAATATTTCGGTGCTGCAAGATCCACTGGACTCATTTCAATGACTTACCTATATATATATATATATATATATATTGACAATTACAATGAATAATTACAGTGGAGCATCTTCTTTTAATCCTTGTATGAGTGTATTTTCATTTATTTGGACAATGGATTTGACCTTATACGACAGGTCACATGTTAAAATGGTCAAAATGAAAAAAACTATCAATCAACAAAGTCTCCTATTTTGAATGCATCTGCACGTGTTATGGCGGCCAGCCCTAAACTCTCCTCCTGGCCAATGGTGTTTTTAGTTTCAGGTGACATCACTAGGCATGGTGACCTCCAGCCTTCACCTCCTGATGTCTGCTCTCTGACCTGTTGGGTTTGAGCCTCCACACTGAGCTTCACTGATCCCACCGCTTTTAGCAAACAGATGATGTAATCTAAGAGCAGAAACCGGTGTGCGGCACTATCCTGTCATGTTGAATCATTCGTCAAGTTTTTTTTTTCTCTTAATGACACGGCATCCAAGAACTTCAATTTTGATTGTTAGCTGATTGGATAGCTTTAGCTTGTCCCCCATACTGAATATCCAGGAGCATAATGTCTCCACCAAAAATGTGTCCCTCAAAATGCGCTCTCCTCTCTAGGCCTTGAAATGCACATGGGCTTTATCCCGTTGTGTTGGAGGATGGAAGCCATGTTCTGAGCTCTGTGGAGGCATCAGGGTGTATCCACTGAGCTGCTGGACCACAGGACTCCCTTTAAAGACCTGTGTGTTGGTATAGTGGATGCTTGCACGCTAAGCCCCACGGTGGGCCCGTGAATGGCACCGGGATTTCACACAAAGACATGATGTCATGATGCAGGGTGCGGACTCTATTGAGCACGTGCAGTGAGGCATGAGGCCAGATTAGACCTCCGAAGCAGGGCACCAACTGGCCGTTAATCAGAATGCTAACACGCTAACAAACATATCGTGTGTCGATCTGCCTACGGCGCGGCGGTGCCACGCGCTTCCTGCACGCAGGGCCTTTGAAAAGCAGGAAGTGACTGAAATCATACGTCGTACCTCACCTTATCGATGCGATTTTTTCGATTTCGCACATGAATTTCATCTAACAATATGCATTATGTGATTCTGACAAATGTTGGGAGGGGGTTGGTTTGAGTTGGCCTTTTACATAATAAACATCTTCCCCGCCACTCCCTGAAGAAAACACTTTGCAGGGGATGTGTTTTTTGTTTTTACTGATTTCCCATATAATAATCATCAGCCTTCATCTGACAGATGTTTACTAGAAGAAAGGTCCATGGTACTTTCTGATAGCTTTCTGGTTATAAATTCAATTCTCAGCAGGGGCCCGTGTTGCAGCCCATTTTTATCTGTCTTGATCCATGTACTGCCAGTGGGAGTTTTTATTTTATTTATTCATTAGCACACATATAAGAATACATCAAAATAGGATTAACAAAAACATAAACGGTGTGTCAGGAGAGGTCAAGAAGCCAACAGGCCTCACCTCTTAAGAGA